TTATATATATATATATATTTTTTTTTACAGCTGGTCCAATCGGAACTTGGAAGAAGTTATTTTTCTTGAAGTTTTGCAGATACAGCAATTTAAAAATCGAGACTTACTGTAAAAAGTGCCTAAAAGTCAATCCAGCAAATAGTTGGAGCTGGAACCATTACATTCTTGGTATTTTTGTTTGATAAAGTATTTACCGATTCATTTACAATTTAAATTTCAAAATAATAGCGGATACATCTTCTGTTGATCGACTAATCATTTCAGCTTTTGTTGACTGAATCCGAAACTTTATCGCTAACATGTGACCAGGCAGCGGAAAACAGCCTGAATGAAGAGGTTCTATGTACCAGTAGCAGAGATGACTCTGGAGGGCAAACAGGTACTCGTTGAAACTCTCGATGGGCTTCTCCTGCAGCACGTAGTCGATGCGATTCCCTCCATTCAGCATCCCCACCTTCACCTCAGGCTCCTCCTCCTTTAGTGGCTCCGGGCTCTCTGGGATCTTATGATCTGTGAGAAACCAGGATGGAGTTATAAATATCTCACAATACAGTAATAACTCGATTGAAGAGCCACAAATGAGAGAAACTCACCCTCCCGCGCCTGCTTCTCCTCTTCTTCGATCTGATTGGCTACCATGGCCAGCTCGGCCTGAAGCTGGGCAGACGAGGTGTGAGCGCGAGCGAAGTCGTTGAGCGTCTGCCAGGCGCTCCTGAGGGAGCTGATAAAGCCGTGCTTCAGGTCGGAGCCCATCCTGGTGAGACTCTCCTTCAGCTCTGCGACACAAACAGATTCATCACTAAATCCATCCGCAGGGAGACGAAGACCCCAGCAGCCGTCTGGTTGTAAGGGCGACGCAAGCAGAAATATACGGAAACACGATGAGCGAGTGTCGTACCGAGATGAAGCCTCTTCCTCCCTTTGTGGTGCGGGATCAGAACAGGCTTGAAGTCCATGTCTGGTAGTATCATGGGCTCAATCCTGTAGGCCACTGGGTCCAACTGAAGGAAAACGAGTCATTGATGAAGCCATCCGATAGTAACGCATACAGTGACTCCGCTTCACTGCTTTCATCACAATTTAATTATATATTTTAGCCTCTTAGTTTGTACTTTCATACAGAGTAACTAATGTGTAGGGTTAAGGGGGAATTACTATGTTTCTGTGACTTTAATATGCAACACTCTTAAGTAAAAAGACTAATTTTAAGAATTATAGCTGATGTCTTTGCACACTACAATAATATGGAAAGACTTGCAGTTAAAAACAAGAGAAACGTGCTAAAATAATAACTTTTGTAGCTTATTCAGCAGTAATTCCTTCAGGATGCACAGGTTAGACGAGCTGCATACCGGATGGTAAATATTGAAGAATCCTTTGCACGTGGGCAGCTGGTACGTCTCTTCGATCTTCTCCAGTCCCCGGACTGTCAGAAACATGCCGATTGGCGAACCCAAGGCGAAGAAATTAATCGGCTCAAAGTCCAGAGCGTGGTAAACCACCGACACCTGCAGAGCAAATAATGTTATTAAATGTTAAGAAAAGCTCAGAATCAGTTTGAACATGAATCCCTTATTGTGTTTGAAGTTTACCTGCCCAGTGCCAACTTCAAAGTAGTTGTAGTCGACGTGGATGGAGCTGCCCACCGGAAGCTTCTTCACAGAGGGATCAGAAAGAGCTTCAGCTGCTGGTGGCGGCGCCGCGACCTGACTGACCTCTTTGAGCTCCGCCTTCTTCTCCCGGGCGGCTTGACGTGCGGCCTGCAAAACCGAGACAGAGACACCAAGGAGTGCGTTAACCGCCACCGTCGGTTTGCGAGCCTCACGGGCACTCGAGAAACTTCACGTACCTGCTTGTTCACTCTTTCTTTGACAAACTTGGCGATCTTCTTCCTGGGACCCAGCGGGATCCCCATCTCCTTCAGGTCCTCGATTGTGCACATAAGCTGAAAGAAGCGGGACAAAGTGAAACAGCCACCAACATCTTACAAAGAAGAAGAAGAAGAAGAAGAAGATCAAAAGATGAGCTGCTACCAAATTACCTCCCACATTTCAGTACTTAATTACATTTAAAATGTTCCTCCATGACGTCAATCAGATCTTATTATTATTTATAATGTTGGCCTTTTTGTAAACCACAAACCCCTCCTTGACTTACCAACGTAAGGAAACACGTTTGACTTTATGACAAGCAAAGGAGGCTTTTATTCTTACAAAAGATTCAATGTCAATCTTCTCCTCATCGAAGGTGTTCTTGTACTCGGTCAAGCCCAGGTGTTCCAGCATGGCGGAGAGATCCTCAAACTCCTCCCCGTCTTCTTTGGGCTCCTCTTCCACAGCTGGAGGGGTGACGGCATTAGTTCCCTGTGTCACCTGATGGGAGAGGCGGAGTTTACAATCGTGCACTGCAACGTAATGATCCATTATGCACACCAGTGTGTCAAAGAGCTGAAAGCCATTTCTGATCAGTTATTACATGCATCACATTCAGTGGGGAAATGCATTTTAATAGCAAAATCAGATGTTTGATAGATGACACGTTACTGTTTATGTTCCATTAACTGGTGTGTGACCTGTTTGGTGTGTCCATTAGCAGTGGGTAGGATTGGCATGGCCAGTGCAGAAGAGCCAGTCTTCTGATTTGACAACAGGTCAAAGAGAATCAAGGAGCCTGCGAGTGCAGAGGAGAAGCAAAACAATCCATGTGAACCACAGAAGACAAACACAAAGCCAGCGGTGTAGAAGCTGAGAATCAACTGGTTTGGTACCTAAGCTGTGTCCGGCCACTGATGTGCTTCCTCTGTAGTCTGGGTTCCTCATCATGAACAGGGCATAAATTCTGTTAATCTCTTGGGCAACTGTGTCCATGATGGTCTGGCAGTAAGTGGGACTGTTGTAGAAGAGCACGTCTAACAAAGTCTCATTTGTAAAGTGACGTAAGCGCCCAGTGCTGGGCAACGTAATCTTCTTTATCCTCCTGCAAAGAGAAATAACAAATGTGGCCAGATTATGATTAAGAAATAAAACTATATATATATATATAAAAAATATATAAAAAATATATAAAATAGGACAAGTCTGGTGATGTTTTTCTCATTGTTAACAAATCCCACAAAAAATCAAAACCAAAAAGTATTGTCTGACACGTCTTCTTCCTCCATGCTACAGAGCTCTTTTTTCAAATACTATTAAAACACATCAATGAGCCACACTGGTCCTTCATTACCACACTACCACCCACCCACCCATTTTTGAAGATGTGTAATAGAAATGCACTTTGGGCAGAGTGCCACAGAGTATTGAGAGACAGACAACTGCACTGTTGGGTTTGGTCTATTCATTTGCCGTCAATAAGAAAATGACCTTTTGTACATTGAATGAAAAACTGACTTTGAATGCATCCATGGATCCACTGTCATTTACACATACATCCTTAAGGAGCATTAACTTCTAAAGTTTGCATTGATCATCATCAAAAGCTTCTACAGTCCATGTCAACCTGCCTCTCCTCACCTGTCCACCCCTGTGGCGTCTCCATGTAGCGCCGTGTGCCACTGGACGGGGAGGAACTCCACCCTGCTGATGGCGTGCTCGTCCAGCGGTATGTGGAAGTGACTGTGCAGCAGCTTCAGCGACACGCTGCGGAAGTCGTCCACTGAAAGCACAGGGATTACTTCAGTACGGCTTACTTCAGGAACACCGTCACCGCGGAGGCTACACCAAATTCTGGCCAACGGCACGATTTGTTTGGCACTCACCACACTCGACCATGCTCCGGAACCTCAGGTCACACACGGGACCGATTCCATGAACCATGAACACGACATGATCCACCTTTGCGAGCTCACCTGAAACAGATGCAGAGGACGGACGTGTCATTCCACACGATCACTCATCGCCCTGTTAACATCTCAACACGCACCTAAAATCTGAACTGTGCTAAGTCACAATTAAGCTGCAGTACTTAAACAGCTGGACATTAAAACGCATCTCACACAGTTGAATCGGACTGAACTGTTCCTCATAAAACAGATTGACGGCTGGCACTTCCTCTAATGTCTTATGAGATGCATCATCTCACTTTATGATGTCCTGACAATTTATTTTTTCTATGTATCAATGAGCTCAGAGTTTATTACCATTTACATGAGGAGTCTAACATGACATAGTACACGCTGACTTTTATGTTGTTGTTGTCTTTCAAATAAGTGCCTTCACTTCAAATTAAATGAACTGGGGGCACAGAGGAACTTGACTACCATCTGGTACTTCATCATGGTCATCATCAATCCCTCTCTTCACCACTCTGGGCCTGGTCTGCCCGTCCTGAGTTGTGCCCCACTCATCTGGCATGGAGGAGGGCTGAAACTGCACGATCACCTACGGAGGCCAACAGAACTCATTAGGTCGAACTGACAGGATGAATCGTTTACTCTCATCAGACTGTGGTTTACCTTCGGATTGTGCATGACAATGGTCTCTCCTGATGGGAACTCCAGTTTACGGTGCCACTGGTTGGTAGACACGGCTTTCTTATATTCTGCCTGGAGTTAAAGTCATACTGTTTAAGTATATAAAGTGGTTTATAACACAACAAGTGCACATTAAAGTTGATGAAAAGGAGATATGTTTTGCCTGGAAGTGGCAAGATGTTGTCCCTCATTTGATTAAGACAATAACTGTTTCTGGTCAAACGTAGCAGTGAAACGAACCTCCAGCTTGTCACTAAACTCCTCAGAGTACGGAATGAAGCGACTATCCGTGTCCCCTTTGTAGAACCAGCTGCAGCGCCGGACCTCCGTGGGCTCCTCTTCCCAGTACACCGCAGTCCGCATGCGGTCATAGAGCTGCACGTCGTACCGACCTCCGTCCGTACGTATGATCACATTTTCTGGGTCCGGTTGAACTGGAAGAACAAAAAAGGCCCACAAAGGCATCAGAGCATCTCACAGCTTCATTGCTCTGTGACAGCAGTGACACTGCCACGGTTACATGCTGTGATTTCTCTGGAGAAAAACATTCATGGTCCACACACCTGAGTTATAGGTCTCCTCTAGCTGAAGAGAGTCAATGAGACTGAAGGGAAGCCAGACACTCTTTGACTCCACTTGCTTGCAGTAGAACCAGTGAGGCTGAACAGCCTCATAGACATTGTAATTGTGTGGCATCATGGGACCAGCAGGGACTATCGCTCCGGCAGTGGTGGCTGTAGGCGGAGGCTCTTGAAACTGTGTGGGAGGAGGCTGAAGAGAAGAAATCATATGAGGCATATAGCTGGTTCTCCGTTATTAGTATATATACACATACACACCTTTGTGAATGTGGATCCTGACAGCGGGAATGTCTGTGGCGGAGAGCTGAGAGCATACGGATTCTGCTGAGGCGTGTGTGTTAGTGGCAGGACCTCTGGAGCTGGAATATAGGGCCGGGCTCTGCTGCTGGTGGGGGTGTGCCGGTACGGGTTATGACTCTGTGGCTGCATCTGTGGAGGCGGTGGGGTCATCGTGGCGGGGGGAGGAGTGTGACGCCCCATAGGGCTCTGGTAAAGTGCACTGCCGAACGCTGGAGGTGCAGGATGGTTCATTTGGGAGCCCGGCGGGGGTGGCGGAGCCACGCCGACACTGCTGGGAACAGACGGCGGGCCCGTTGATGGGGCCGGCGGCGGGCATGGCGACTGGCCGATGGCTGCGAACGGGTCACTGCTGGTTACGGGGCTGGAGAAGTAGTTGAACGTAGAAGGGGCCGGCCCATTCCCAGAGGTCTGACCTAGAAAGCTGTCTTCTTCTCCAACATCAGTGGAATCAACTAATAAATCAAAGCAGGAATTTGAACAGTGACTACATGTATTTGAGACTCTACAGTACAAGGGACATCCAAAACAACAGATACCTTTAAACACAACAGAGGAAGTGGGCATGTCCAAGAGTCCAAGGGGACATCTTATAATGTCCAACAAAACTCCAAAGACATTCTATTTACAGTGATATAAAAGATTACAGATTTAAATAATTTATGGATTATCAGCACTGCTGACGATTTCAGTTTAAAAAAAATGTATTACTCAATAAAACCATTTCATCTCTATAGTACATCAGTACATCTACAACAAACACCTGCCACTGAGGATGTTGTGAAAGTGAAAACATTGTATATACAACCCAGACTACAGCTAAAGTCTGCTAGTTTGTCATTAGTGTTTTTAAGAAGGACTTTAGTTTGTCAGCTGACGCAGACAGAAGGACGTGGCCAATTTAAAGACATGTTTTGATGACTCTAAAGTGGCTGCTAATCCTCCTCATGTAGCACCACACAGGGTACAGTGTGTACAACACACATCACTGTCAACTAGGCTCACTTCTCTGACAGACGATCGTCAGCTCAGACACGCTGTTTCTATCCGTTTCTCTCGCTTTCACACTGAGTGACAGCTGACAGTAGAGCAGGAACCGGGGTTAGCTAGCTAGCTTAGCCTGCTAACGACACCGCTAGTGTTCAGGACGTTTCCTCGGTCGGTATTTCATCTCACCTCCTGACAACACTGCTGGACCAGTGGCCTGACTCACTGGCATGAAAGGCAGATTGAAGTTAAACTCCGGAGCACCGCTGAACAGTAAATTTGCACTGGTGTTGGCAGCATTATTATTCTTTCTATCTGCCATTTTCCCCTAAAATCACACGTAGCCAGTGACGTTGCAGCCCGGCGTTGACCGCTCGGTTCTCCAAACGGTGGTTTCGCTGCCCTCACAGATTTCACCGACCTCTAGAGCATTAATAGCGTATTAACATAACACAGGACGGCTGAACACATCTTCTATAGGTCTGCTAAATCCACGTAGGTTGTATGACCGTTGTTCGTTGGTTGTAGGAAAAACAAACACTTCCTCTCACTACTGCCGCCTACAGGTCAACCCGTTCAACTACAGCGAGCACTGTCACTTTGTATCATTACTATGGGCTGAAGTAATCAATGCTATTTTTAATTAAGCATATTATAATAAACGAGTATACGGAATACATGAGTGGTCTCCTCACTATACCACCAACCTAAACTAAAAACACCCCGCCCGGTTACAGCTCCGTGCTCCGGTTGGTCCCCGTGTGCAAAACAAACGAAATACGCTCTTCGACTGGTGACGCAAATTTCCCGCCCTCACTTCTGCCATCCTGTGTGTGAGAAAGTAACCAAATAAGTGTTTTGGACGGATATTTTATTTTGTTATATTTTATATTCTCCAGACGCTAGTCAGTGCCTAATGATGCCTTCCTCACAGGACTGGATCAACGACCCTGTCGGTGTTGTTGAAGGGATGTTTGGTAAGAGACGCACCGGAACTTCACTCCTTTGACAGCGAACTCGTGAACCTCGCGAGTTAGCTGTATGGCTACGGACCATGCTAGCGACCATGCTCCTCACATGTAGCCCTTAGGACATATAAAATGATTTAATAACATGCGGGTGCTGTGTGTGCAGTTTGATCTGAAGAACTCTGTGCACATCCACATTAACAGTCCACGACATGATGCATTCACGGGTCTTTAAAGTGTCTTAAAGTAATTTAAAACTGTGGTAACTTCTCCGAATGCACTGAATTGGTTTGGATATAGATGATTGTTAGAATTTTTTGTTCTAATAACAGCTTCAGAAGTTGTGAAATATAGTGTTATTTCTTTGTCAAGATATGAATGATGTTCTGTTCAGCTCCTCTTATCCACCAGTAAAAAGAACCAGTACCTGACGCTGATCATTATTTCACAAATACATGTTAGAAATCAAACAGTCATGTTTGAAGTACTTGGATCATTGAAAATACACATACAGACATAGAAACATACAGTAAAAGTCATCAATGTGATGTACTTTCTCACTTGTAAATAAAGTGGACAATATTGATATGTATTTTTATACTCGTCAAACCGAATTTTATTCATAATAATATAATATTTTTTATATTATAGTTTAATTTGGTTAATGATTTGACAGTCATGGGCAGAAAAATTACAAAAAGGCCAATTTCACAGGAAAAAAGTAGCTATTTTGAGTAAATGTGTCATAGTTCTTCACACCACCATGATTACACACTGATTTTTGTTTGTTTGTTCATCCCATGCTTACATTATATTTTATATAAAGTAACCAAGCTGAATGAAAACGAATCACTGGTATTCTCAAAGCCGAGGTTTTCTGTTATTATCCAGGGCCAAATTATTTGAAATGAATAAACTTAATTAAACTATTTAAATGTTATCTGAAAATAATATTTTGCTCTCGTTGATTATTTTTAGCTGCTTCCCAGAACAATCCAAACTCTGGATGGGAGGCGAAAGCGGTTGAATTCTTTAAAGATCACCTGAAGGAGAAGGACGCTCACACCTGGGTAACGCAGCTCTCCGATGCTTTCCACACATACATTCCACAGAGATGCAGAAGATGCCTGTACACGTCAATGTCACCGCCCCGTTTCAGCGCTCCTAAATGACGACCACCTTCATTTTGGTGCAGGTCCCGTCTTTAAACGATGTCCCTCTTCACTACCTGAAGCCAAACAGCCTGGTGAAGTTCCGTTGCTTAATCCAAGACATGTTCGATCCGGAGTTCTACATGGGAGTGTATGAGGCCGTCGATCCATCCACAAAGGCTAAAGTAAGCGCTTCCTCTACCTCTCCTGTGCAGCCATACATGTACAGCCCTCTCATGTGTGTGTCCTGTGTATGTTTCTTTGCATTCACAATGCATGAGACGTCATCACAGCATCATCTTATTTTACTGTCTGACTGCCCCCAGGTGTTGCGATGTGGGAAGTACAAAGATGTGACGGAATGCGGGGTAAGTACCGCTCAGCTAAACCACTCAAGAGATCCATAAATCCCTCAATTCAGCTTCAGCTTTGCTCACACACACGTGACACGCGTTTACCTCCAGGTGGATTTTAACTCCAGGAACACTGTGACTGCAGAGAGACAGACTTTCTACTGTGTGCCGATCCCCGGAGAAAGTCCCTGGGTGAAAGAGATATCCTTATCTTGTCCAGATTGTGTGTGTGTGTGTGTGTGTGTGTGTGTGTGGAGATGCTCCTCAGACAGGATTTTTGTCGCGTGTGCTTCGCTGCACCTGACTGGTGTCGGATGTATTTTTTTTAAAATAGTGCGCCATAGTTTTCCTTAATTCTGTCGCACAGCTATGCCGGCTCCAGCCAAGCACGAGTGGTTCCCTCCACCTCGTACGCACCGACGAGACAGAAACGCAGCTACGAGGACGACGACGACGAGGACATGGACACTCAACCGCAGAAGCAGAGGGAGCAGCATGCTGGTATGAGCTGCTGTTTGAAGGGAACATGGAGCAGAATGCAAAACAGAAGCTTTGTCCATTCAGAGGTTTACTGCTGTCAAGGTGTTTTTAATAGACGCAAGTCTCATAGTTAAGTTTTCTTCCCATGGAGATACAAATTCACCTTGGGAGATGAAGGTAGTGTTTTACAGCATTATGCACTCCTCTCTATCTGCTTGTATGACCCACAGGTGAATGCAACATTCTGTTGGAAGTGTAGGAAGCTGCTAATTGCAGCAAGTGTAGAGAGCTGGTACACCAGAGATGTAAATTATTACTCACATGAAATGACATCTTAGATTATTTAACAATAAAAGTATAAAGATTGAGGATATTTTGCCATAAATGCAGACTGCCCCCCCCTCCTCTCGCTGCAGGTCCTCAAAGTCCATCAGAACATCACGGCAATGGTGACTGTAAGCGGCGGGAGACAGAAGCTCCTTCCAGCCAGGCGGCATCTGCCTGCCATCTGGACCTCAACTTCCCCCTGCCAGGAGAGAAAGGCCCCTCCTGCCTCCTCAAGGTGTGTTTTGTCTCCTCCCGGCTCATTTTCGTTGCCGGGTCAGCGATGCATCTCTCTGCTCTTAAGAGGTGATTTCGGAGACGATACTGCCCGTTACCGGCGGACTGTCCAAGTAGAGGACAGAAGCTAAAATGTGCGTGTTGCTGGCAGGTGTACGAGGACAGAGACGGCTTCAAACTGAACGACACAGTGGAGGTCTTCGGGATCCTCTCCGTCAGCCCTGCTCTCAGCGCGCTGGCCGACGAGAAGTAAGACACGGCATTTAGTTTGATTTCCCTCCCTGGCGTCGATGTGCTTCGTTGCTCACTCTTGGCGTGTTCACAACAGAGACGCCTCCTCGTCCCTCCTGGACCCGGCGGACGGCATGGAGACGGCGGAGGAGCAGAGAGTGCACAGCCCGCCGGCCTCGCTCGTCCCTCGCCTCCACATGCTCTACGCCAAGCCACTGCCACACAACAACCCGTTGCTGCCGGCCAGCGCCGCCTTGGAGGACAACAGTGCCTGTAAGGACCGATAGTAGACTTTTCTTATTTCAACCTCAGTTTTTGAATACCAGGCTATTGCACTACATCTGCGCTGATGTTGCCATGATAAGAAGCTGAACAATCCCCCTGTCAGAAGAGATCCGGGGAAATATTTGCTAAGTCTGCTGCAAACTACCTTAAGGGGGAGGGGGGGGCACAACATTTTGCATCGCCACAATTTTTACAGTGATGTAAATGAGTCTAGCTGCACGTCATCTGATTTGCATACTGATGGTGGGTTGTTTTGATACATGGTGGCCCTGCACTTTTGCAAATGCCAGCGTGTATTCATCCCACAAGAGGAAGCCCGCGTGAGTAAACATCAGCTCAGCAAAACAGATCAATGTTTAATTGTGTTGTTAAAAAAACAACGTGGGCGTTTTTTGGGAAAACATTAAAACACCTTTGACTAGAATATTGCTGTAAACACAAGAGGGAATATAACGGGCCTACATAATAAGTAATATCAGAGGATTATCAGCGGTGCCTCTGCAAAACCCTGACAGTCAAAATATTCCCTACTAGTGTATCTTTCTTGAGCTTACACGATATTAATGTGTAATATGAATCCAGCAGCACTGGTGCTCAGTTATACTTCTACACACTCCGCCTTGTCATGCTGTATTACACACTGGGTCAATGCTACGTACTATGATGATACACGGGCTTCGTCAGCTTTTTACAAAGACGTCAAGTCAAGTGACGCGTCGGCTAATCGACTACTCCGTCAAGATAAAAATGTATCAATACTTTAAAAAAATCTGTCAAGCAAAAATGCAAAACATTGTTAAATGTGATAATTTGCCTCATTCATCAATTGGTCAGATGCAGCAAGGAAGACAGTAAACAAACCAGATAAATGATATAGACTCAATGGGGACATTGATGTTTTCGTGTCGGCCGCTGTAGTTCTTCACGCTTGGCACACGACAGAAGTTTCTGTTGGTTGCAATCTGCTTCCTCACCGCTAGATCCCCCACACTAGACCTGTAGTAGCCGGAGGGACTTGTTTTAACTCTTTATCCTTCCTCCTCAGTTTTATCTTCGACCCTGAGCGAGATGGCCGCTGTCAGGGCAGAGCTGCTCGCATACTTCACTCACATCCTCCTGGGAGACGCGCTGGCTGCTGAATACCTCATTCTGCATCTCATTTCTAACGTGTACGTCAAGTTAAATCTGTTATGTTGAAGTGGGAACCTTACCGCCTTTTTTGTTGCTTCATGCTAAAGCCAAAGGAGCTTTTTTTTTAAAAATTTGAATCCACAATGCGGTTAATTCTCTCTCGTAGGTACACTAGACGGGACGTTCTCCCGCTGGGCAAGTTCACCTTGAACCTGAGTGGCTGTCCGACTGTCTCCTCGTACACCGAACGCTTCTACCAGATCATCCAGCAGCTCGTGCCGTCTGTGAGGGAACATTGTCACTTTCAGCTACTGCCAATACTAAGTTAATGAATCTTATTTATTTTAGTTTCGAATGAACGTCAACTAAAGTCCCCCTTCCCCTGCAGTCGTACTATCTGGGCATGACCCTCCAGAATATGAACCAGATGCGGTTAGTGCCAAAGAAGGACTATGTGGCCAACCGGCTAGTGAGCGGGGCCCTGCAGCTGGCCAGAAACACTTCCCTCTTCCTGGACGAATCCCAGCTGGAGCAGGGACAGCTGGATACAACAGGTGAGGCTTCTAGAGACCACGAGGGGGCTACACTGAGAGGAGAAGTTGAATGCCCTACCTGCAGGCTGTAGACACTGTCGGTAGGATTCAATTGAAACGCTAAACAGGCTTGATCTTCTTCTCTGTGTGTTTGTGTTGTGTAGGTGTGCGCAACGTCACGGCCCTGGGGAACCTGATCTCGTGGCAGAAGGTTGATTATGACTTTGACTACCACCAGATGGAATTCCCCTGCAATATTAACGTGCTCATCGCGTCAGAGGGCCGCTCGCTGCTGCCGGTGAGGATAAAGAGGGATGAGGCGTGCAACTGTAGGACAAAAAACTCCCCCCTACCCACCACTGATTCCCCCCCAATCTGCCTTAGACTTAGGTTTCGTTCAGCCCCTCATGAGATGAGCCACATCTGATGCTGGAGGTTGTTTCCAGCCGGCGTCACGCTGTCATCTCGGCTGCCATTGGTCGGCTGCAGCGACCCCTCCAGCCGGCGGCTTTAGCTCGGGTCTCACTTTGTTGCGAACAGCCCGAGGAATGTGCCGCGTGCTATTCCTGTGCGTTGGTCTAATGGGTTGTCATGGTGGCAGCTGCGTGCCAAAGGAACAATCCTGGGAGAGGCGTCAGGCTCGGCCATCTATTAGTCCCGCAAGTGAAGGGCAGCGCACTGTAAAGCACTCCCAGGGCTGATTAGAAGTCAGCAGTGCATGGCCGTGTTTACATTGAATAGCGATTGGCTGATGATCAGCTTGACTGTCCAGCTGCTCGAGTGCTTCACGGTCAGCCCGCCACGGCTTTGCTCCTGTCTGGCGGGCTTTGAAGTTTTGACAACATGCCAAACTAGGCGTGCACGCAGCAGGCAGAGTGGACTTTTGCATAGCAACCCGTGTGTGGAAAAAAAAAAAAGAAAAATTAAAGATGCAGTTAGCTGTTCTTCCCTGGCACAGTGATAATATTTCTTTGTCCGTTACTCCACAGTCAGACTGCCGGATACACCTACAGTCTCAGGTCGCCCCGCGCGACATGGACGAGTATCTCGGCAGCATCCACATGCATCCGCAGGCGTCACAGCTGAACAAGTTCAGAATGTACCTGAGCGTGGCTCGGCTGCTGGACTACAGCATCTCTGATGAAGTGACGAAGGTGAGACATGCTGTCGTCTTCAGCCCGAGTTGAGTTGCACACAAGTTAGTGAGATAAACTCTGGGGGGGGGGAAGAGTAGTATTCATGAAATGTAATCAGTGAAACTTGGAACTAGTTGCTTGCAGCTTATTTGTTCCTCTATGTACCTACCAGGCGTGTGTGTTTATGAGCAGTCTGTTATGTGTGCATTAGTGTCCTTTAACAGCTTGTTTCTGATGTCCTCAGTCAGTTGAGGATGACTTTGTGGATATGAGGAAGGACGACCCCCAGAGCATTTCTGCTGAGGACCTCCACAGGATGCTCGGTGTGGCGAGGTGGGCTGTGACTGTTATATAAGTTACTTTATCTAGTGAGAACAGCAGCCTGCAAAGCCTTCTTTAAAAGTGTTAAAGAAACATAAGCCATTATGACCAACAATGGAAATGCCAGATATGACGTAAGCAGGGACAAGGGGCTTATGAGACCAAAATAAGAGTTGTTTAATACTTTGAATCACCGGTCGTCTGAAGGAGCGCCTGGGCTGGGACAATGAAATGTTCTCGCTGTATTTGGAGTATTAATTAGCGTGTCTGACTCCGTCTGCAGGTTGCTGTCTCTGAGCCTGGGACAGACCTCTCTGTCCAGAGACTGCTGGCTCAGAGCCAAACACGTCGAGATGCTGCGGAGGAGCCGGATGGAGCAGCACAAGTGCGTCAACGGCAACGAGCCGTGATCGGCGCAAACAAGATGGCTTTTTTTTGCTTTTTGATACCTAAAAAGTTTGTAATAAAGATGTTTTTCATGTGTCATAGTTCACGTTTGTTCAACTTCTTTCAAGAACCAAGTTGCAGACATTTGGATATACTTTTCAATTAATTTGTGAGTTCGTGTAGTATACAGTATATATAGATAGTTTCTAGAAAGGCAAACTGATATGCTGGCATGGAGACTTGCTGTTAATGGATTTGACAATAAACCCATATTTTTTTTATTCCAATGAAATATGTTACGAGACAAAGTGTACAGTGCATTTCAAGTAAAAACACTCGAAGAGGATAAGAATAAATAGGATACTTTAATATACAATCTCAGTACACCGTGGAAAACAATGACAGTCAGTTGGTAAAGAGGAACGATGACCACAAACATTCAAACGTTAATGGTGCTAATGGTAGAAAAATGTGTGTAAACAGTGCAAATCAAATGCCTTAAGACCTCCGAGTCACATGACAGTTTGTCGTGGTCCTAACAGGACGGGAGGACAACCACAGACAAAAGGAGGAGGTGGTTGCAAAAGCACTTGGTGTGAAAACAAAAAAGAAACGGATCAAATAGAACGGACAGCTTCTGCATATAAAAGACAAACACTGTAGCGTTGTGGTCGATATTGGGAATGTTGAGGATTATGGTTCCTTTCAGCAAATTTGGGACATGTGTCCCCGCTCTGCTTGAGAACTGCTCCAGTGTTTGCAATCCTGCAGGAAGTTTAAAAAACAAACAAAAACCCTTTAAACCTCAGCATTAAAACTTTGCATTACAGCTATTACCTTCAAGCTTTGGCAGCACCACACACACTATCAGCAGGTTCAATAATAACTATGATGTAGCAGCCAAAGCAGCCAAGGCTACAATCTCACTCAACACAATTATAGTCCGATAAAATACACAACTATCCCACTTCTGATCTGCTGGTGAGCAAGCTGAATGCAGAAAACAGGCAAATATAAACACAAAATACGGAACAATCTATCTTGGGATATTTCAGCTCAAAGCAAACCAGATAATTATTATTCCTCATAAATAGACACAGATATACAAAGCAGTGTGACGTGATGAGACAACCTTGGTTCATTATACTGCAACAAGGTCATGGAGGACAACAGGTGACTAACGAGACAAAAACTTTTTTTTTGAGGTTAACGGAAAAAAGTGTATTCAATATAACTACGTTGATGGCTTCATAGCACATAAATATAAGTAGGGCTCTGAGGCGAGCGCTCCTAAATACCAGCAGCAGGGATGCGCTAATGCACGCACGCACACACACACACACACACACACACACACACACACTTTCCTTGTATGTTCCAGTGGATGAAATATCCCAAGATAAAGCTCGATGACAGACAGTAACCCTGAACATGATGGTTTATACAGTACACCAAATGTAACGTGTAAATGGACTTAAAAAAGGTAGATTTAGCCATAAATACCTGATATACATAATCCCACTTCCATTCCCTGTTAAGGCAAATATGCCTTCAGTTTGGGGGAGTGCATAAAGCGTCAGTGTGTCTAATCATTGGATGGGTGCAATTGCATATATATATCTACTATATGCTACTCTCCTGTCTTTGTCGTACATGATGCACAACGCAGGCCGAGGACTCTGTTCAAACAAACCCTCGGAGTTCAGAAGTACAACCGTTAGCTCTATCAAACAACTCCAACCAGTGGTTTTCTGGTTATTCGTGGTTAGCCATGACAGGACTGGGCGTTCTTTTCAAAATATAATGCTCATACCTCTCTGACCTTATTAAGATGCCACCCTGCCATCAGTTCAAATAAAGCTTCCGGGAAGGCTGTACTCAGGGAACAGATGAACACACGATACTCACTGTACATATCAACAACCGGGATACTCTTACGAAGGTCTTGTGTTCTCATTATTTCTATAACGGCATATCTTCTAAGTTACACTGGACAACATTGATATCACATAGGATAACTACTGACAGTATGTCGCCTGGCTAGTTTCTCACAGCTATACAAAGGGGAATAGTTAAAAGATATTTGGTCGGATTCTACAACAACTGTTACAAATCGAGGGCTATTACGAGGCCTATATCACAAACGCCAATAAGTGACCCGCACCAACAGGACGACGTACAGTACATGATAAAGTCAGCTTGGTCTTTCAACATACAGCTAATGTTTTACCTGCCTTGTCAAGACTCAAGTTACCGTTACCCTCACATGCGAGCACTGCGGGTATAAGAACCTGTCAGACTAAGGAGAGTGACATGTTTACATGCACAAAATACAAGTACACGAGTTTAAAACACCGTCAAAACCTAAATATGTTCTTTCGTCTTGTTATTTGTCTCTTACGGTAAACGTAGTGAAAATATCCTTGAAATTTGATAAGAAAACTGAAGTTATAGAAGGATTTCCTTCAAAAAGGTAGCAATATTTCTGGAGTGATTTGGGATTTGGATGTACATACATTTATTTCAATCAAATATTCTACCGTCTAAAATTGGACATGGGAATTCTAACAATAGTTTTGAACACCTGACATTGTTGCATGGTAAAAGGGATATGAGCTAAACTTCCCTTAGATCAAAACAACTGGACAAGACAATTAGTGCTCTCTTCAGAGTGAGGGAATCCATAATGATGTGCACATAAACATGGCCACTGTCATGTTGGGCTTACATATATGTTTCTATGTTCTGTACAAGAGCCACCATTAACTAAAGGGCAACTTTAAGAGCGCGAATCTTGGCCGAGCAGTGACGCTATGTGCAAGCTTTTTGCTACTGCTACCATACAAGAAGTTTCTACACAGCGTGTGACTACAAAGTCTTGCTACAAGGAAAGCACTAGATCTGGATGATCCTGGTCTGGCACTGTGTAAACATTTCCTTCAGCTCGTTCTCTTGGGCTTCGTTGACAGCATCCGGCTCTGGGCTCTTCTGTACCTTCGCCACGGCAAAGTTGATGCCCTGGGTGAGTCCCGCCTGGGTGAGGCTGGCCACCTGGACCATGGAGCTCTTGATCTTGGCAAAGGGGGACACCACTCGGCTGCCGTTGCTGTCGGCGGGTGAAGGGCCCAGGCTGCCCTCCATCTGTGAACCCAGACTCCTCTGAGAGCCTCCTGAGGCTGCAGAGCTGGGCTTCTGGACAGAGAGGAGGTTGGAACTGGAGGCGGTGGAGTCGACGTCTAGCTGGGAGGGCCTGGGGAGCTGGGGCTCCTCCAGTTCCTGCTGCGGCTCTGAGCGCGGCTGCTTGTCCGAGTCTGCTAGGGTCTTGTTCTGCACAGGAACCGCAGGGTGGAGTGGGGGGGCAGCGGCTGGTGGCTGCTCTCCAAACACCTCAACGGGTTTGGTCTGTGCGTCCTGGATAAACTGGTGGCAGTAGGCATCAATAGGAGTACCAAAGTCGATCAGAATGGCTTCTTCGGCCACCGAGGCGGACTCTGGGGACTTTTCATCACTGATTTGAGAGAAGCTTTCCTGCTTCCCGTCACAGCCGGTGACTCTGATGACAGAGGGGATATTTAGCTCCATGCTGCCAATAGACTGGGAGCGACTGCCCAGTCGTGGGTTTGATGCTACAATGCCGCAGCTGGGCAGCACATAGTCCACGTTTTCTAAAGAACCAGAACACGGGCGCTCTGGGTCAGAATTATAGGAGTCAGAGTCGTCTGAGATTTCAGAGTGGCCGTCTCCGATATCTTTTAGGGCTCCTGTGCCAGGGTTGTTATCTGATGTCTCCAAGCTACTATCAGACTTCCACAGGTTGACATGCATAGTTGGCTTTAGGAAATTGACTTTGACATCAGGCTTAGAGAAGGTGCCCAGCCTCCCGAGGGGCTTGAAGGGGCCAATGTTTACGTTTGTCTTGGTCTGTTTCACTCTCTGGTTGAGAGAGGAGAACTTGTTGAGGAGGAAACTTTTGCCCTGAGCTAGACCAGAGCTACCCTGGACCTCAGCAGGTTTGTTCTGGATGCCCATTATATCCTCATGAGGTTTACTCTGCCGCCTGTGACACAAACAACATTAAGAACTTGAATCACAGCTCGCATCATTGGTCAGAAGTTAAAAAAAGTGCGCTATGATGGCTGCAAATAGTCATCTTCATTACATCTAAATCTGTGAAAAAGACTAAAGCTAATTATCTTAATGAGGACTAGTACTCACCTATCCAGCCTCTTTTCAACCACAAGCAGGTCCAGCCCTGTGGCCTGTTTAGTTATGCGAAGCATCTCAGCGATGCATTGTAATGTGTCTGAAATACATCAGAATGAAAGTCAACCAGTAAATGCAGCTCACGTTTACAGAATTTTAAGAATGACTTCCTACCTCTTCCATCGTCCTCAGGATTCCGCGTTGCTGCTCTCAGTGTGTGAAAGTATCCACTCGTCTCTTCACTCCTGTAATGCAGACGCATACAGCAGAACTTCGGCTTCCCAAACAGAGTGGGCTCCGGACCTGCAAAAGAAAACGCAACTTCCATTTTTAGTGATGTGCCTTCGCTGCATGAATCATAAACGGCCGGAGATATTGCTAAAAGGTTACTGAGAAACTGTTCAGCACACTTTTAGGAAGTGTTGGGTGACTCAGTGAGTGTACAAGAACCCTCACTTCTCCTTTGAGTCAAACTTACCAATTTCGATCTTTTCCAAACCCTCTAAATTGAGACGCTGGTATTGGTCGACTTTATCCGCTTCTTCATCGTAGCTACGAGAAAATAAACGCAAACATAAGTGAATCTATCACAACGATCTCTAAAAGAACAATGTCGGTGAAAGTCAGACTTACTAAGCGATGTAATAAGCTTTGTCAGACAGAAGCAGCAGCACATCCACATCTTTATTGTTTGCATCAACGAGGCTGGTGGGAAATGGGAAACCGGTGTCATGGAAACGACTGTAAACTTAGTATAAATAGTGCAAAAGACATGTCAGGTAGCCGCTAACCTCATGTCACAGTTGATGAGGGCCCAACCTCCATGGAACTTCTCATCGTCAGGCAGCAAAAGCTGCATGTAGGTCTGCAGCAGGAGGCTGACCTGCTCCTGCGCTCCCCTCTGGCTCTCCTTCTCTTTCTCTTCATGCTCCTTCTCCTTACTGAAGATGGAGTACAGGTCCTCCGTCACCGGCAGGCCCATCATTAGGTCTGCAGGGAGAGGAGTCGATCAATGGGTGCGATTACTTATATATACGGCTATAAAAGGTGTCTGTTTTTCCATACCGATGACAGCTTGTCTGTAAGCATCTCTGAAGCGGTTCAGATAGTAGCGGTTGGCTGAGTTCACGCCATCCTTCATCACGCCAGCCAGTTTCCTCTCCCCTGTCCTGGTGAAATCTCCCTAAAACAGATCAAACAGTGTCTGTTAAATATACCTTTGACTTGTGATTTCAGTCAATTTCTAAGTCCAAAAAGGCTCAGTTCATATTTATCATTCTGATGCGTTTAATCTACTGAAATAGTCTATGCTCTGTTGATTTATCAGATGTGAATGTGTGTGCAATGATGTTACCTTGAGCGCTGCCGTGCCTGCGTACTGCCTGCTGATGGTGTCTCCATTGTTGGCCCACATGATCTGATAAATCTTGTAGCATTTGGGAGGCAGAGGCTGTTCTGGAGGCATCACACCCAGTTTCTTCAGCTGCAGGAAGACAAGAGACATTTTTGTCCATGGGGTCTGCCGTTTAAACTGAGAGTGCACATCATGATGATGATGATGATGATGATGATGATGATGATGATGATTCACTCTGCATCAGTGGGAAAGGTCCGTCTTTATTTCTTTTATTAAATTTCTACTTTTGTAATCCAAGCTTTAGAGTGTGTCATATAAAATATGTCAAGGGTGATATTCTATATTATTAATACAGGCATCATTTATAAAAATATGACTTCTTTTAAAAGTACATATTAACAGCAAAGCTGTCAGTCCGGACCGGGAACAGATCTCACCTGTTGTTCCATCACTGCCCGAGCAATAGCAGCCTGGACCACGTTGGTCCTGTCGAGACAGTCCATACAGTTGACTCTGAAGATGCCCTCCTGCTTGCAGATGACTCCGGCCTGATCCACCCTGACAGAGGAAGATGCATAGATCACAGGATGCATTCATGGATTACAATCTTTAATCCAATAACAAAATGGATCTCTAGCATGCACTACAGCCTGCTGGTTCATTGTAGTTTTCTAACTAAATAAATCATATTAGATGAAGATAAGCAATAGACCATGTTATCAGCATTTCTCTGAAAGATCACAAAATACTGACATGCCACTTACCAGGCCCACTTCATGTCAGTGATGAGATCAGAGATCGCATCCGTCAGTACTTGCACGTTCTCAAACTTCATACCTCGGCTGAGAAACAGGATATAAGAAGCATAAAGGGGAAGTACACGTATGAAAAAGGAAGACTGCATTCATAACCAGTTTCACTGTTGACTGAGGAAAGCGTTTCTCTTACCAGTGCTCGTGAAAGTCAAATGAAACGTATGTGAGGTTTGGGTTGTTGTAAAGCAGGACTTGCTTCAGATATGCGTCGCCAATTATCTTCTCCCGTCCGGTTTGATCCACCAAGTTGATGATGACCTGAAGAAGACGATACAAAGTGATGTCATTGAGCCTCGCGTGTAACATCTGCCCCTCTAAGCCGTTCCTTTAGATCACACCGAGATGCTAAATGTTACAGGAAGTATGACTAAAGAACTTTCAGCTAACTCATCAATATTAGTCAGGATGCTCCGACATGAAGCACATGGTCGTTTGTTAGTACACTGTTTGCATCCACAGGTGACAGAAAATGCACATTTGTGATGAATAAATACACAAAACAATCCTTATACAAGACTGATGCAGTCAATAACTATGCTAAGCAGATACACTCCGGCACAGCACACACACCTGCGTCTTGTAGAGTTTAAGCTGTTCTTCAAAGTGATCAGAAAAGTAAGACATGGTCTCCTTCTCTCCTGAAACAGACACATATGCATACAAATGACTTTTATATAATTGAACCTGGCTAAAGACACCAAGAGAGCTAGTTCACAGATAACTTGTGTGACACCCAAAGAGAACACTGGTACTGAATGAAATGTATTTTTTTTTTTTTTTTTTTTTTTTTTTTTAAAAAAAGGTACAACTATGAAACAAAATAAACTGGAAGTGCACTTCACTCAAACACACCCTCTCTATTGGACTGTATGCACGGTAATGTAGTTCTGCTGACCTTTCTCTAAGCGTGGCCGGGGATTGTAGCGGTACCCCGCCTGGCTCCAGAAGACGGGCACGGAGCCACGCGTCTGTACAAAGGACAGAGTGTGGCTGTGCACGTGGATCAACTGCTCCGTCTCCACATAGTTAGCCACACGGCCATCGGTATCCACTCCTCTGCGCTTGTACCGCATCCCTTTGGGAGAGGAGAAAGCATCCGCTCTATTCAGATTATTTATATCACAGATCATGCTTCAATGGACCAGAACAAAAATTAATTGTTTGCCGAGTTACTCAAAGCCTTTTGTGGAAGGACCCCTATGATGTGGGAACAATCAGTACTAATTACACAACATTACACACATCTTTGACTCAATCTGATCTCTGGCATGACCTTCCTCTGGGCCAGGCTGACGGTAACCGTAGCTTTACCTGCACGGTGGCGGCTGCGTCTGGAGATGAGGGCCACGGTGAAGCGGGGATGGATGTCATCCACACAGGTGACCTCCTGCGGTGGGGTCTCAGGGCTGCTCCTGTCCTCATCGGGTGTCTCGTTGTAGTTCACCACCAGCTCCTCCACCTGCACAAAGCCCTGGATGATTGGGATCACCCACAAGTCCACCTCTGGCACCTGCAGCATTCATAGAGTTAAAAATAACAGCAGGACAAGAAGATTAAAATGGGGGTTGTCAGGTTGATAATTGAGCACTTTGCATCCACAAAGTAGATAACCTTGTATAACGCAGAGCCGTTAGCCGCTCTAATCACCGAGTATTTTCATACTCGGGGCCAGCTGAGAGAAACAAACCATCATGGTGCCACTCTGTATGGAAGAGGTTTTACCTGAAGGTCAATGATGTCTTGGATCATATGTTTATTCCAGAAGAACCGGTCATCCACCTTTGACAAAGAATAACAATTACTGTAATTTCAGACGCAAGTGTTTTTGCTTTACACTGCAAACATGTCAAACAAAGAGTTGTGATTCTCTCCACACCTGTTTCCATAGGGGTAAGCTGGACTTCTCAGAGTCTCCCCGACGCTGCACAGTGTTTGTCAGGTCATAGGTCATGCTGTAGTAGAAGGAATCCGAGTCCATGAACACCTTGTACAGCTCGTCCAGCAGCCGCCTCTCCAGACGCTCCTTCTCTTTATTTTCCTTGACCTGGAAGGCAGGGGAATACTGGATTGGGCATGTGGATAGAAAAGAGCGATAAGTTGAAAAAGCAAACAAAGTAAAATCCGATGACAACTTCAAAGCCTTTGAAAGAGCGAAAGAAAAGAAAAGCAGTATGCCTGCTTGAAGATAACAGAATACATATTAATAGAGTTACAACAAATAAAACACCTTCTTCTTGATGGGCACAGCCACATTAGATTTGATCTGGCTGAAGGTTTTCATCAAGAACTTGGACTCATCCGGAGACGGGGCCAGTTTCTCTGGTTTATCGATTCCAAAGTGATGCTTCTTGCAAAGCTGAAAAAGAAGATTTGGTATCAAATTTCATTTTCTCAAAACAACATATAAATAAAATGTTTAATACTACCGACTACAAACAGACAAAAAATATAGTTCTCATTTTCCTAACCTAAGGCTGTAAACAGATATATTGATCTAAAGGATTTCTAGGCACAACAGGGGTGGACTGGTCCTCCTGCAGTACAATGACGATGTACGGGGGACTAAAGCCTAACCAGGAACGATCCTCCTCCTCCGTAGTTACTCACTTGAAAATAGTCTGTCTCACCATCCATGAAGCTCCCCTGGAAGACTAAAATCTTAGTAATATTCAACTGCCTTTGCGATCTATTACAGTGAAATTAGATATAATTTCCACTCTAAATGTGCGAGTGAAAAAAAACAATATACACACACGCACAACAGTAACTCATTTGGCATCAGGGTCAGCCTATCAGAGATGAATCATACGCTGATGCACACAGGGTATTCTTGGATACATTTAAATATAATAATTAAATACAATTTAGTATTGTGACAAGCACTGTTCTAATGACTGTCAGGGGGTTGAATGCATGATTAAACCACAAGTGCATGAACACAGCTCCTCTCGTCTCATTACAGCATTAGTGTACACACACCTCCAGCTCAAGCTCCTGAGGCTCTTCGTCAGACAGAGGAATGACGGCTATCTTGGTGATCTTGTAGACTTTGTGGTCGCCTGGTAAAGTGCCCACCAGTGCTTTCTGTCGGATTAATACGAGGCCCAGAGGAAGGTCTGCCAGGAGGAGAAAGAAGATGGGGGACTTGCATCATGGTTGCAGAATTTTTCACATTCTGAGAGGTGTGAAGAAAGCAGCTGCACACCGGTCATTAACCGCAGATATTTTTAATAAGGTAACACGTGACATCTGGTAAACAAACACCCAAACCATGTTAATCCAAGTGAATTAATAGAATAATATAATTGTTATGTGTTTTCTTGTGAAAGGTACATGGTTTGATTGCAAACTTCGTACCGTGAGGCACCAACAAAATCAGATTTATCATCGATGGAATCGTCACCATCAGCTCACTCGTCTTCGTAACGACACACATTCCAAAGCGCTTTAACACATTTTCTCACACCTTTCCTTGTGAGTAAGAAACATGCTATGTACTGGATGATTTAGTTACTCAAGCATCCACTGCACACAGATGGGAAATACTGGTAAGAATGTGGGTGCTCGGTGCAAACGCAATACACAGCTATGGGAGGGAAAATGTTCAAAAAGGTTCATCATTCTCTACTCACCTGTGTGAAGCTGTATCTTTCCAATAACACCTTCTACCACACCCAAACACACTGGATTCCAAGCCAACAGCAGGTCTGTCGCTGAAACAGAAATATGAATATGAAACATCAGAAAAGTGGCGTCGCATAAGCGCTCACAAAGACACGCTTCTGATCAGATAAACAGCCAGGGTGAAAAATGACATATGCAAGCACAGGGCCATGTAGGACGTTCTGTTTATTCACGTTATTTCATGAAAAGGTTTGAGCATGTGCACCTTTTCCATCAGACAGAGCTAAATAATCACACTAAGGCCTCAAACGGTTGTGGTTGGGTGTTCTCATGTTAGCACTAACAGCAGTTTTTAATACCCAGTAAAACACATTTTCAAACACCCGGCCAAGTTTGAAGTCGGTTAAGGCAACGCACAAACTCAGTGACTAATAGAAAAACTGGAATGTTTAGCATTGGTGACGGATTAAATATCATAATGGAGAAAATTGGAAAAATGTGAGGGGCGTGGCTAAGGTTGGTGAACATCAACTGAAAGACAATGACTCTTCCTGTTCGACCAGTTGGAACATTTTGTGTACAGGGGAACCAGCCGAGAGGGCCCACAGGAAAAGTGTTGCAGGAAAAAAAAAGAAATACAAAAATGATTTAGAAACAAAACAATAACACATCTTCACTCAGAACGTGTAATATCACCGAACTACTTCACTTGAGAGTGGAGTGGAAACCCAGTGAGGAGTGGAAACCCTTTTTCCAATTAAATAATGAAACAGTGGTGCAACTAAAACCCTGTTCAGGATGGCTGCACATAGCTTCAACGGACACAGCCGGTAACACGCGCTGGAAGGAAACTTCTCTTTCAGTTCAGCAGTTCTCTCCCTTCAGCTGGGTGCAATTCACACAGCCCCACTGTACTTCATTCAAGACAAAATCATGGCCGATTCTCTGTCCCAGCTATGAGCCACAGCAGCAGCGCTGGAGTTCTGCAATGGGACTAAAGGTGTGATGCCAGGAGCTGCTTTACACACCATCATGCCTGTACCTGTAGTTATTGTAATACGTCAGAATGGTGTCATGGATTTCTAGTAATTCACCATATTAGAATAGTACATCTGTTAAACTAGCATTTCATATGAAATATATAGAATAACCTCCTTACAATCCTGTACTATGTGTATTTGGTGTAAAGGAGAAAGCAGTTCACCCTTCAGTGTGTAACATAAGGAGCAAAGCAAGAAGTTTGGAGTCTGTTTGGGGTGTTGGCACTGCCCGGGATGGAAGCTAGGACGATGATTTCAAGACTTAATGGCGCATCCAACAATTTCCATCTTAGCATTGAACCAGTCAACTTGTTTTGTTTGACGCAGCTGGATAATTTAGAGCGGTTACATTATTACGTTAACGCTTATTTCAGAGATTAACGAGTGACATTTACGAGTGGGAGATTAGACTAAACCGCTGTGTTATAACGTTACATGGTGACAAGAATACCGTTCGTCAACTCCACACAGGCCATGAAACGCAAAGCTTTTATATTACACTAAACAGGTAAAAGAGGGAAGCGTTAGTTTCAGGTAAATGGCTGCAGTAGAGAAAGCTGTCATCCGTACGCACCAGGTTTGACGGTCATGGTCCCGTCTCTCCGGCTGCACCACAGAGCACGGTCCCCCCTCTGGAGAATGTAGTCGTCTTTGGCTTGGAACAGCTCCATGTTGTCCCTTTACGTGGCACGGGGACGGTTAACTAGCTGGCTTAGCAGCCAGGTGCAGGTATTTATACCCGTCCACGTCTCGGAGGTGAACTGTCGCTAGCCAGAGAGCGACTGGCTAGCCACGGTTAGCTCGTACCCCACAGGCTCGTGAGCTACGGCAGCTAGCTACCTCGCGCGCGCGCAAACAGCAGCAGCTAGATGCGTGTCGGATTTGTTTATTCCGTTTCTACGCATACTGGTAATCCAATTCCCGTTCCACTGGAGAAGCAGCCCCTCACACGGTCATGCCGGACACCGTAGAGGCAGAGACACATCAATGAGTGAGCTGTCCCGGCAGCTGCTGCGTGAATTTCAAGACGTAGCCGACAGTTTCCTGCTCTAAACAATAACACGTGACCTGTTCCGTAACAAGTACGGTGCATAAAACTGTTATCATTTAGTAAATAAATTATTAGAGTAATCGTGAATTATATAGTTAATTATGTATATGATGCAATTATATGTTGTTAACTAGAATCCCTATTGTGATGACAGTGAAAATTAAGAATGTGTGGCTTTATCTTATTGGCTTCTAACAGACATTATATTGCCTTTATTTGTCTTTTTTTATTAAATAATGTGATACTTATATGTCGGAGAAAGCTAAACATCATAGTTACATTACTGCTTGTTTAGTGACAGCAGGTTTAATGCCAGTTGAATCTGGGGAAATGTAGGGGATTATATGTAAAACAATCATTAAAAGTAATTAAGTCCCTATTCTGATGTTACAGTTTGAGGTCAATTGTATATAAAAAGCGCAAAAACACACCACTGGTGTCCCCATCCATCAAGGAATAATGGGGGAAACTTGACTCAGTGGAGCTCTGAGGGAGAAGGCTGTTAAACTGACCAAAGGAAACTAAACCAGGCTTAAGTCAGCTGAATACTGTCGGGGACACATCTTCAACTCCTCTGTTGATTGGTGTCAACCAGAAAGTCTTGCTCCTCTTCTACCACACCATAGTTGAGAGCGTCCTGCGGTTTGGCATCTCGACCTGGTTTGGCAACCTCAGTGTACAGCTGAAAGCACAGATCACCCGGCTAACACAAAGAGCCATGAAAATCATGGGAGTCAGACAGCATCCCACACTCCAGGCCATCTTCGATGAAACTATCATCAGACAGGCCCAGAAGATAATTTCAGACCCTACTCATATCCTCCACCCTGAATACCAGCTTCTTCCCTCAGGCAGACGCTTCAGAGTCCCCCAGTGCAGCTCAACCGCTTTAAGAACTCCTTTGTCCCCGTCCATCAAAGCTCTAAATGGCAAGCTAGCCAGAGCTTAACCCCTGTAACACCGATTTTTATTTATTTTTAATATCTTAACTACACACTACTGGTGCGTTATACAATGGGCAGTGTGAAATGTGTTTGTTGGCTGGTGGCAGTCTTTTGCAAGTACTGTAGGTACTGTGTGTGTGGGTATGTGGACTGGCGACAGTCTGTGTATGTAATGTATGTATGCCATATGTTATTTGTATTGTTTTTTTAACAGCAGACATTGTACACTGTATGTATGTTTCCAAGACAAATTTCCTTCGGGACAATAAAGTCTATCTTATCTTATCTTATCTCTCAGACTGACCTGGTCTGTGGGGACACAAATATTAGCCAAAAATCCATGTCAAATACATTTTATTTTCAAACATACCAACGTGACTTGCTTTCAACAATGCATCAGTCTGCTACTCATAAACTGTGATTAACACTACACCACAATCCATAACTTGTAAATCTGTGTTAGGCAGTGACCCCCCCCCCCCCCTCACAGATGGCTTATGGTTGTATTATAGTGACACATTACTACACAAACAATTAGCATAACCTTCAAAATAATTTCAAACCGTTTGAAATGACAGATTGAAGTTTTCTTGCACTTCATCTCTTTATTAAGAATTGTCCAACTTCTCACAGTTGGCATTTTTAAGGCTTTTAGGCCGTTTTTTGGGGGTTAGCGTCATTACAGATTGTGGCTGTGGTAGTTATACATTCTGACAACCAAGTGCTGATTGTCTGACATGTCAAGTAAGATTACACATCTCACCTCTCTTGTCATTACACATTCATAAATGTACCAAAATACTATATGATATAAATACTGATATAGTTTTTGAAATAACAAGTAAACCAATGCACATACAAACACATCAATCAAAACCTGTGTAACCTATATATTTCAAATGAGGTGCTGCTGATGTTTCAGCGTAATACATTTCAATGATGGCAAAGTGCAAAGACGGCAAAATCAGTAATGCACCAAAAAGCAGCATCTAACAAACATATTCACTGTGTTCTGTGACAAAGCAGCTCCAACATGGCCATGTGGCTATAAAGGGGGACATGCTTTTCTGTTGACTGAGTTTCTGCAGTGAGTTCTGCTTAATTAAAAGACTCAGTGTTTGCACTTGTGTACCGACTGATTTGTTTTGACTGGATTAAGGGAAGCTCCATACAATATTTGATCAAGACAAAAGGCAACCACACATAACGTTCCTTAAGAAAATACCTCTGCTTTTCTTCCCATGTATTTAATAAAGGCCTCTTATTCAAACTTCAATTTGACTAGAAATTGTTGACAACACCTTGATCATGACAGCTGTCTTATTATGAAGACATTGGCACAACATAGAAGGCAACAACATTGGCTTGAAAAACATGATCGCACTGAGCTACCATCAAGTACGTGCTGAATGGCAGTAAATACCAACACTGTTAATCGATGCATGCAACTTCCACAAATTCTGTAGATAGAGGAGGAGGAGAGTTCGCCGGGTCGGGCTCGTTCACTATCAAATATAAAGCAGGTTATCCTTCTCCCCTCTTGATTATGAAGTGTGAGGTCATTAGGATATCTCCTTTGCCAGCTCAACATTTTCCTTGGTGATCATTCTGGGCTCTCCTTTCTGTGTCAGGTTGTCTCCCTCCATCGCCGTCTCGCTCGCGGGCCTGGCTGGCTGCTCCTCCATTTGCTCCAGTTCGTCCAGGATGTTCTGAACCCGACGGACACCGTCCCGTCTCGACTGTCGTACATCTACACGACCCTCCGGGTCGACCGAGTCCAGTGCTAGGAGCTCTTTGGTCAGCATCTCCTCCAGTAACATGTATCTCTTACCATTCTTCTTTCCATCAAAGCCTCTCACCTCCTGCTCCAGCTTAGCAACCCGTCCGACTATCTGCTGTACCTTAGCCAAGCCTGGGTGGACTGGGCTCTGGGCGGCCTGCTCAGCCTCAACCTTTACGGGTGGGACCTCTGGGGGAACAGCTGTCATGTCCTCGGGTTTTGGAGGTATTTGAACTGTGATATCTGCAGTATGTTGTTGTGGTGGTTCTGGTTTCTGGGGCTGCTGGAACTGTTGCTGCGACTGCATCAACTGTTCGGGATGCTGAGGCTGTGGAGACGTCTGAGGTGGTGCGTGCTGAAACTGTTGAGGTTGCTGAAACTGTTGTGGCTGCTGAAACTGTTGAGGTTGCTGAAGCTGTTGAGGTTGCTGAAACTGTTGAGGTTGCTGAAACTGTTGTGGTTGCTGAGGCGGAGGCTGTTGGAACTGTTGTGGTTGCTGAAACTGTTGTGGTTGCTGAAACTGTTGTGGTTGCTGAGGCGGAGGCTGTTGGAACTGTTGTGGTTGCTGAGGCGGAGGCTGTTGGAACTGGTGAGGTTGTTGAGGTTTTTGGACGTCAGCTTCCGTGGGCAACGGCTGGGGGAGCTGCGTGTTCTCGGGTTTCTGCTGAGTGCCTTGTTGTTCCTGCTCCATTTTCTGGGGCGGGTCTCTCGTGAGGACATGCTGCTGAGCCTTGGAAGTTACAAAGGAGTCGTCACAATCTAGGTCAACACATGCTGACAAGAAAATCAATAATTTTTTGAACATAAAGGGAAAGATCCAAGTGAAACCACACAAAGAATATTTACCTGTGGTCTTTCTCCCAGCACCTGCGTTACAATAGGTGACTGGCTTCTAATATGAGGCTGGAGGTGAATAGAAGTAGCATCGCGATGCTGGGGAATCAGTACCGGAGAGGCTCTTTCCCGGGGAGGCTGCATCGCCGCAGAGTAGCCAGGCCATTCGTCGGTCTGAAGGCGATAGAAGGGCTGCTGGTGCTCCGAGTAGGGGATGCGCTGAGCGTAGACGGAGGGATTCAGCTGAGCCTGCGATTGTGTTTGGCCTCCTCCACCCTCATGGATCACCGGGATGGGGATGTAACCTGCTTGAAGACCAGTGCTGCTGGGCCGCGGGGGTTGGTGATGAGGAGCAGTGTAAACCTTGAAAGCGTAGCAAATTGAAACAGCAAAAATCAGGCATTTGGTCATTTATTTTGCATACAGATGACACAGTCCTGCAGCATGCATGCTCAAATCCAACCTCTGCTGTTTGTGAAACAGGTGAGCTGGCCATTCCAGGCTCCACGGAGCAGCTATCTGAAGGTCCATGTAAAGGGGATCTGGGCCTGCAGTGGAGCCCCGGCGTCGGGGAAGGTGTCCTGCCGTCCGACCGGATATTCTGTGCAGTGTTTGGCTGGATGTAGGAATAACACGGATGCTGTTGCTGCCTCAGTTCTGCGCCCTCATGGAAGACAGGGATAGGAACGTATCCGGGGCGCAGAATGGGGTGCTTCATCTCTCTCACAAAGGTTTTCTGTAGCTCCTGAGGGCTTGGTTCTGGTGGTATGTTGGGTCCATTTGCTGACAATTCTCTGACCTGAAACACGGACAACAGTATATCATTTTAAATATTATTATTTCTATTACATGATCCAGCAAAGGAAAACAACTAAATATAACACTCTAGAATACCTCTAGAACATTTTAGGCACCACTAACATTGTTTTTTAAAGTTATTAAACAATTTAACCGCTGAAATTATGATCCCTAGGCCTAAAAAAATGATCAATTATAACCAAATATTATCAATTATTTTGACAGTTGAACATGTTACAACAGCCTATTACAGACATATCAGTACATACAACCGAATGTTTTTAATACATGGAGGTATTTTTAATGGGAAAGCTCTCTCAGACCTGAGATAACTGCAAAGGTCAAAGGTTAAAATGTGACACTGGGATGCCAAATGTATCACCTCTATTGAGTATTTGATAAATGAAATGAACGTCTGATTAACGTGGAGCTCATTTCCACTCAGACAGTTGCTGTGTTTGTTTGTGAAATTTAGCTCCTCGATAAGACGGGAACCAGTCACCTTTTAAACGATCATGTTAACGGCTAAACATCAATTAGGACACAAGGAATCTCTTCCTTGCGTCAGTCTCATTTGACCACTGACATAGAGTATAAATAACACCGGAATACATTTGTATGCATACCAAACCTATATTGACACTGAAAGTAAGGGGACTTACTATCACAGGAATATAATCGCTGGAATTAAAAATAGCATAATATCTCCCTAAATACAACAATGGCACTGTCAACAAGCTGCTGGGCGTCAGACAGTGAGACTCATCAGGAATAACGTACATTTATTAGCCAAAGAAGAAAAGGTATTTTTATTGTTCTATTAGTGTACTAAGTGACTAGACACAAATGCAAATGACAGCTGTGGAGCAACAAGTCTTCTGGTAATTCAGCACTCTGTCAATGATCTGAGAAGAGATCAAAGCCCTCCTCCCTCGCAGAACAAAAACCACATTTATATGTAAACCAGTGTCATCTTCGCTCTGACAAAAGTTATTAAGTAGCTGTGAACGACCCTTTGCCCTTCTGCCATTTCTGTATGGGACACTTGCACACTGCCAGCACCATTGCACCAATTTTATCCCCCGACAGCTGTGTCTTTCTAGCAGATTCTTCGGGGACACTAACTTTGGACAACACCGTCTGTCTCTGAGACGAGAGATTACCAACTGGCAGCCTGTCAGGTTAACTTCAGCCCACGGGGGTCTTCTCTGCAGACCTGCGTGTTTTCACCACATGTATTAAATACAGCTGAGCGCCTCGATCATACGGTTACACTCCACAGGCCAAAGTGAACTAGCACCAATCCTTGTAAGGGAAAAAGTTTAATACCAGCTGGACGTCGCAGTGTTTTCCGCCGTGAAATAAATGTTATTAATGAGCTGATCATAGGTACGCTGCATGGTGAGTCATCGAGTAATAATAGCGTTAGATCATGACTCGGGAACATAACGGGGTTGATCACCCGTTATAATAGGCGTATGAGCTGTCTGTGAGGGGGAGGCGACGGTCGTAACGAGGCCTACCGTCAACAAGATTAATAACAGTGATGTAGCGCAACGCGTTCCTTTAACGGCGCACCGAACCAAAACACGCACTGTAGCACGTAGCGCGACATGAAAAAAAAGTAGGTCCGTTAAGGAGTTGTACGGCCGTTAGCCGTTAACACTGACGAGCCAACTTTATCCCGCTCCTCTTTTACCTTTTTCGCGTCGTGTCGCGGGTCATTCCAGGTTGTCGTGCGGTTGTTGTGATCCACGAAGAAGGGCCATCCGGTCTGAGGGTCAATTTTGACCTCCCAGCCGAGGGGAAGAGGGTCGTGGTCGTTGGTGGCCGTTGTCGATATCGGTGTCGGTGACTGCGTCTTCATGCCGTTCATGTTGCTGGATGTCGAGTACTGAAACATGTTATACGGGCGACGGACGCTTTAAAGATTCCTTGAAGTGACGTGGAAAAGTGGGCTGGAAGTTTCTCGAAATAGCCAGGTTAATGTTGGAGGCGGACAGCGCTCGAGACCGTGCCATGGGCTCCCAAACGTGTTATGTCGCAGATCCCCCCCCCTCCCCACACAGACACAAAGTACACCTCTGATCTGCATTACATTTATTTATCCCAGGGAGCCGCACTGAGGAGGATTTTCTCCGCAGCTGTGGAGAAAGTGCTCGCTCCACTCATGACGGTCATTTTCTCTGCTGCTGACGGGGGAATATCTTCTCCCTAATATTCCCGGCACCTCTGGAGCCCCTTTGAGAGCGATTTTCTGTGTTTTGCAGACATGGGAATCCCAAAGCTTTTTTTTTTTTCATAACGAAATGGGTTCCCCCAAATAGATGTATTCAGACTCCCACATGATAAATCCTTTCCAAGAAGACTCAATCTGTGTTTTGCTAGAATCTGGTTCACAATTAAGCCCACGTAACTGTGGTGGTGTGCTACAGCGTGGGCACATGCAGCGACACCTCTAATGACAGCCCTTCCTTAATCACAGGACTTACTCAGCTCATGGGGAATACCAGAAAATGTCAAGGACTTGAAAATAGTGAGGAGATTGACAACAAATATACAATAGGAATAACAAAGGTGTTTTTTATAGGTTATAATGCGATACATCACATTGACAAATGATTGTCAGATTCTTTATTCAGTGATGATGTTGTTTCCAGAATATTAGCATGCAGACATATCAACCCGTCCTGCCTTGGCCCATCTCTGAGAGTCAGGTGATGGTTTTATTGAGTAAAGACCTCAGTGTTGCTCTGCAAAAACTCTGGATTTTGATGGATTTTTTTTCTAATTCAACGAAACAGGAGAAATATTTCTGGTTGGACTTTAAATAAAATCACTTCGAAATAAAAAACACCTGTCAAAAACTAATTAAAGAGTGTGAAAGTTCCTGTCTCTGGCGCCCCCCAGTGGTAGTATTGAAATACATTGTGGCAGACAGCAATACAGGTTTCCTTATACTCCCAGAGGTATCACAGCAATGTATTCTTTAATTCAACAGTCTCATGATTCAGCGGCATTTTTTCACATATACTTTTAAATACTATGTGTATTGAATACTTAAATATGTATCTTTATATTAGTCAGTACTCAACGCATTTTAATACACATTTTGTTCAGTTAGAATTACACTGCTATGAGACAGAATGAGTAATTCAAAAAGTGTTCTGCTCACGCTGGCTCCTGAGCTCAGATCATGCATATAGGCTCAGGTCCAGAAAGTTCGACGTGGTTCGAGACACCGCCATGATCCGCCGAGCACCGGTGAGTAATACAAGCTCACCCTGGCATTCTACTCCAAAATAAAAGTCTCTAGCGCTAATTACTTCCGTTGCCTTATATGATAAATTAAGTGCTAAATGCGTTCGCTGTTTTGGCTTTTTAACGTTAATTAACCAATCACACCCAGGAACAAAAGCTATATTTAAGAAATTCACTATTTACAATGTTGAAACTGTAAAAATGGTGGCTATTCGTTACCTCACTCTGACCTCGGCTCGCCTAGGCGCTTTTTTTCACACCACCCACGCACGCACGCACGCGCCTGCTAGCTCTCTGGACTCCCAGCGTGACGTATACCCTGGCGCCCGGTTAGCTAGCTTCTGAGCTAGTTAGCTAGTTGTTGTAACTAGTTAATTAACAGGGTTCACCGGAATCGGTAAACGTTAGCTGTCGGCTTCGGTCATGGACGACGAAAGCTACCCCAAGACCCTGTAAGTACTGTTATGTATCCAACTGCAGTGTTGGTTAGGTATTCTTAGCTTCGCTAACGTCGGGACCCAGTGGCTAACCTAGCTAACGTTACACAACCCTGGCGAATACCGCCATACAACACAATGTTATGTTCCACTATCGTCAGGTTATTAAACATAAGGTTAAAGAGAAACACGTTTGAAGAGTTAAACGGCGGCAGCTGTCTCGTTAGCCGTAACATACGTCGGGCTAGCTTGAATGTCAGGCAAGCTAATGTTAACGGTAATAAAAAATAACGTCACATAAGTAACTCACCGACTAGTTAACCGTGCGAATACCCTAAATTAGCTGTATATGGGTCAGTTTTTCAGATTAACTAATATTATCACAGTCTGTACCACCTCGCCGTTAAACTACAGTTTAACAGCTTTCACTGAATTATCCCCTCTTCTCCCTGCAGGTATGTGGGAAACCTCTCCAAGGATGTAACGGAGATCCTGATTCTGCAACTCTTCACTCAGATCGGGCCTTGCAAAAGTTGTAAAATGATCACAGAGGTAAGCAGCAAAGACTGTTGATTTGATCTTTTACATCTTCTCCTTTTCTTTTCATGTCCCCTGTATTCACATACATGGAGGGAGACCATGTCCAACTAATTATCCAACGTTGGATCATAAATTGGAATAATAAATCCACTGTTGACGACAAAGAAACTAGACACATTTTAGCTGCAGTTACATCACATTTGTCCACCACATAGTGGAGTGGGACCCACCTGATGAACTTTTGTGTTTGACCTTGTCCCACGCAGCATACAAGCAATGACCCTTATTGCTTCGTGGAGTTCTTTGAACACAGAGATGCTGCTGCAGCTCTTGCAGCCATGAACGGGAGGAAGATATTAGGAAAGGTAGGACAATACGTCTGGTCCAAAATGAAAAGCTTGGCAGTGCAACTGCTTGAATTCCCTTGGGATCCTTGTTCCTTGTGTAGAAAATGTCAACTTCTCAGATTCTCTGTCATTATTTTAAAGGCTCTCTGTAACATTCTTTCAGGAGGTCAAAGTAAACTGGGCCACCACTCCAAGTAGCCAGAAGAAAGACACGTCCAGTAAGTGTTCACCTATTGATTCTTATAAGCTGCTGACATCTTGAGTTTACCAGAGAATAGTAAATGGTTTCTTCCCTCTGTTTGTTTTCACCTTTGTGTCGTTCTAGATCACTTCCATGTGTTTGTGGGAGATTTGAGCCCTGAGATCACCACCGAGGATGTCAAGGCAGCATTTGGACCTTTTGGGAAAATCTCGTAAGTCTTCACTTAGAAGGATAATTCTTTTTACGTGCAGTACAACAAATTTGAATGCTGCAATGCAAGCATATTGATTTATCTAAATTTTTGGGAATATTAAGTTACTTCTTAGTAATGTTATGTAAACGTATGCTCTGAAACAACTGTCTGTGACCATGTTTACATGCATACACTATGGGGTGACTTAACTGTAAATGTAATGACGTTAGGAAGTTCGTGCATATTGTGATTTCAAACACTGGTCCACAAGGGATGACATCCTGACGGTTGTTGTACCTTCTCAACAGTCTACAAGCCACGTCTGATCTCGCATCAATCATTTAGTTTTGGGATAAAAAAAAACAATGGTTTGATATGAGACACTGGGACACCCTGGTGTCCTAGGGGTTTGGGTCTGCCCATGAACTGCAATGTCCCCCTTGTTCTTGCATGTTGTCCAGATCCCCTTCTCTCTCCAAGTATATTTGAAAACGCCAAGTTATCTTTTGTGAGATGCAATGTTTACAAGTCAACTGAGATGGTGAATGTTCAGGAGAACCAATCCAGTTTTGCTTCATCTTGATGTATTTTGTTTGTCAAATGTATATTCAATAGTGACATTACATCCGTGCATGTAAACATAGTTGTGATGGACCAACATGCATACACAAAGTACTCTTTCACATGCAAGTACTGCACCTTTTTTTCCAACATATGTATTGCTTTGTTTTTAAAAACACACTCTTTAACAGATTTGAACAGTCTCGTTTAAGTTTCCAACACAATACCTGTAAGTTGTTAAGAGCTTTGTTCCAGTTACTTACATGTAGTCTGTGTGTTTTGTATTTTTATGACTGAAGTGTCGACTTTTAGCCTACTCTTTTTGCATATTTAGGCTGTGGTAAGTAAATATAATGTAAGCTGTGTGTATAAACCTGAACAGCTTTTAGTTGTGGGTCTCAGTGAAGTAATAGAACTTTGGTTATTTTACAGAAATGCTCATAGGATTGGACAGGAGCTTGAAGGCTAACAGCAAGGAACTGTGCACTCTGGAGACTCAGATGTAGTTTTTTTTCTCTATTTATTCCATTCTTTCCATATGTCTTTATTTGTAGATGCTATGTATTAACATGATCTATCTTAGATTAACAAATTCCAGCACTCAATGTATTCCTCTAAATCTATGTTTAAATTGTCTCATTTTGATTTGCATAGTGTTGTTTGTAGTGCAATGATCCTCTTCCAAAAGTTCTGAAAATGTCAATTTCTCAAAATTTGCAGCTCCCCAAACTCCATACTCCATAGTGGTGGTAAAGAATTGACACGGGGAAAAAAAAGAAATCTGTTAACAGGCCATGTATGCCGTTTAATTCCTTTTTTCTCTTTTTGATATTTTCTATATATTTCTATTTGTAGCGAGAGCACCAACAGCAGATTTTAAGAATGCATGGTAATCCCTTTAATCTGTTCCTTTTGTGAGTTTAAATCAGGAAGTGGTGCTCTAGTGGCAAGGATCCATTAATTCATCTGAAATGATTTAAAAACAGTACTGTAGGCTGCATGTTTTCGTACTTGTTTTTGTTTGTTTTTTCCTCTCAAGTGTTTAACAAGTCAGTGCTCAGCACGAGGTCATGATAGCTAAATACATTCATTTAGGACAGAGTAGAGTAGTTCAGTTTGTTTTGCGTGGTTCCTTTTAGTTTGAAACGTTAGAACTGAGAAGTGCACTGAAGTTGTTTTCACGTCTCCCTGCAGGGACGCCCGTGTTGTGAAGGACATGACGACAGGCAAATCAAAGGGGTATGGATTTGTGTCCTTCTTCAACAAACTGGTAAGGCTCCAGTGCAAGAACACAGACTGAAGGTTATTTCTATTTTCTGTTTATTATCCTACTTTAATACATTCACAGTCAAGGAAATCTATTTAATCATAGTTGACAACACCATCAATCATCTAACATTACATAGTTATACTAATAATACAAACAGCAATGTATATTTTGAGAACAGAGTATAGTCGCCAGTAAACTTTACAGATTCATCAAATTCAGAGAGTTAACTGTCTTTGATTTGGATTTGTAGGATGCAGAGAATTCCATCATTAACATGGGGGGACAGTGGCTGGGAGGACGTCAGATCAGGACCAACTGGGCCACACGCAAACCACCAGCTCCGAAGAGTGTCCAGGACAGTAAGTGTTAAAGATCCCGCACACCGACACCAGGGAGTTCACCTACTGTACGAGGAGAGTCCATTTCACCTGGCAGAGTTCTGTCTGACCGCACCATCAGGACCGTGTCAGATTGACTTCCTCCTCCCTCCCTACACCTTTATCCTTCTTATTGGTGCATCTGAAGCGCGCCATAGTTCTGAGGTCTAATCAGCCAGGATAAGTTAAAACGGACATTAATATATCACATTGATTACAAATAAGGGAGTGTAGGTCATTTTATCATATCGATCATACATTACAGCGGTAACTTGTTTTTTCTTTTTTCATTTAAGTTTTTATTCCTCCAAACACACCCAACATCATACACAGGTACAAAAACTAGGCAAGACAAATAACTGTGAAAATAATAAACAAAACCACAGAATGAATTAAAGAAAATGGAAATAAATAAATATAATAATAAAATAAAAAAGTGAACTTTGTTTAGATTCAGGCACACACTTTGTGTAAGAGCGTCCCTGAACAAATGTTGCTTGTCTTTATTTCAGATGGCTCAAAGCAGCTGAGGTTCGATGACGTCCTGACTCAGTCCAGTCCACAGAACTGCACCGTGTACTGTGGAGGGATCCAGTCTGGACTATCAGGCACGTGTCATGCTTTCTACAGATGCACATTAATGGTCTTACTGCTTACCACACACTTTCCTCAAATAGCCTGAAAACTAACCACGAACCTCTTTTCTGTTTGATCCTTTCAGAACACCTGATGCGCCAGACCTTCTCACCTTTTGGTCAAATAATGGAAATCCGAGTTTTCCCAGAGAAAGGCTACTCTTTCATCAGGTAACGCATCAGTGCATTGCAGCATCTGGCCGCTAGATGTCAACACAAGCACACTGCATGGCTCAATGACAGCCAGTCAGTACTTGATTCGGTGTCAGTGGCCTTTTATGTTCAGTTTGTCTTCACCTCAGAACAGTTATTAGCCTGAACGTGTATTTTCAATTCTGCTTGATGACCTTGACTGCTAAGCTGCTGTTTTCCTTTTTTAAAGGTTTTCCTCCCACGACAGCGCTGCCCATGCCATTGTTTCAGTAAACGGCACAGCCATTGAAGGACACCTAGTGAAGTGCTTCTGGGGCAAAGAATCTCCTGACGTAGCAAAAAATCCACAGCAGGTAGGGAGAACGTCACGGATAATGAATATTTGATAAGATTTAGAAAACGGCATGTATTTTTATGGGCATTTTTATAAGTTTAGCAGAGGAAAATGACAGGAAATGAGGTGAGTGATGGAAAGAATGACATGCAACACAGGTCTCCGGTCAGACTAGAGCTCGGGACAATGCAGTCGGGGGCACACTGAAACTGATCTAACTGATAAATGCAATTTTAGGAGTCTTTATTTTTAGCCTATTTATAATAACTATGAAACGAAAATAGAAACCTTATTACCAATCCAAAGATATGTTTACGGAGTGAAGCCATAGATTTAAAGGCCTTGTACTTGCTGTATTTGCTCCTAATTGAGCATAGAGCTATTAGGACACTTCAGACATGTATTCACTTCCTCTCTGTTTGTCTCTAAGGTTGAGTTCGGTCAGTGGGGGCAGTGGAATCAGGTGTATGGGAATCAGCAACAACAACAACAACAACAACAACAGCAGCAGCAACAACAACAACAACAACAACAACAGCAGCAGCAGCAGTATGGGCAGTATGTGACCAATGGGTGGCAAGTTCCCTCCTACAGCATGTACGGCCAGACGTGGAACCAGCAAGGATTTGGAGTAGAGTAAGTTAAATGAATCTTTCCCTTTTTAACCTGGGGGGAGCATTTATTTATTATTTATCAATCTTCATATGCAGCAACCACGGTCATACTAACGGGGTATTTGTGGCGTCTTTGCAGGCAGTCCCAGTCACCAGCCTGGGTGGAAGGCTTTGGATCTCAGTCAGGCCAGGCTGCAGCCGCACCCAGCCAGGTCATGTCCAACCTGGCCAACTTTAGCATGGCCGGCTACCAAGCGCAGTGAGCCGGCCCAGACCTAAGTGTAGTACCAAGAGGATTCTGTCAACCCTTTTAGACCACGCAGCACTCTTTCATCTGGGCAGATGCTGTGTTGGAAGAAGGGCACGGGCCATATTCACAAAGCCTTTGTAGCTAATAGTCGCTCCCAAAACAACCATTTCACTCAGAACTTATCACACACTGAATAAGTTAACCAATGGGACAACCCATCAAAAAGTAAGTGTAGTCCTTCAAAATGTAATTGTTACCCTCCTATGTTCAGAAGCTGAGCAAAGATGTATCTGAAAAACACGACGCGTACTCGTAGAAACGTAACCGCCACGGTACTTTTGATGAGTTAAAAGCACAGTTACTACAAAGCCATCATGTCACTGGAACAAGGATTCAAATCATGGAAACCTCGAACATTAATATTGAGTTATCATACTTAAGCAATATCCACTTTTAATATGTTTTCTTTTAAATATATTTCAGTGTTTGTTACAGACTTGTCATACTTTCACTGCATTTTTCTGTCATTTTATACAACAGAATACAAAACTCCCGTCTTCATGCATTGATGACGTTCATCTTTGTGGTGTAGGTCGGTCTGTAAAGAGGCAGCGAGCGGGTTCCATCGGTCATGAATCTGTGCTACAGACTGCACTAAAAGAATTAAAGAAATAAAAAGATGCCAAAAGAATGAACCAACCTGCTAAACGTTGGTCTGGGCTTAGCTTCAGCTAGAAATTCATTCCCGTTTTGATATATAAATGATAAAAGCTTTGTGAATAGAGGCCCTGGAACGATAGTTGACCTTTCAGTTTGTGTGAAGAAAGTATTTGTATAAACAACTGTGGCTTTAAAGGAGATCTGATGTGGTATCTCTTCGGTGCATTTTGTGTACAAAGAAAATTGTCACCGACACAGATCTAAAAGCAAAAAAAAAAAAAGGAAGTTTTTTTTTTCAGTTTTTGTATCGGAGTGATCAGCATGTTTATTTGCAGACTTTTGATGGATTTTAGTTTACTCCTTAATGTAGCATAGATTTGACTAATTTATAATCCTGTATGTCAAAGTAAAGGCTACAGCCCATATAGAGAAAACATTGTAACACGCTTAACCCCAAATGTTTGTAAAGTTAACCGACTGTGTGCTGATTCTGGGGGCTGGTTTCCCTCTTCTCAATAACTCATTTAATTTATAGGGTTTTTACAAAGAACATTCAACTTAATTTAGCACCTAAACCAGCCCCTCGTGGTTTTTGCGTTACGTTTTTCATAATTATTTTGTGCTTACTGATTTGGGATGGTTGTTATTTTACAAAAGCAGAAGCTTTCCTAAATATATCATTGATTTGTCCGTCACTTTTTGCCCCTTTTTTAGTGCATTTTGAAATTTCTCAGTATTTGCAGAATATTTCCATATATTCCAGATAAAGTGTTTTTAACAAATCGGCGGCAAATTGTGACGAGGATTTCTCAAAAGATGTCCTGCCATTTGGATTTCCTTTGCGTATGTGCCATTCTGTACAGTGCATCACACTCGCTCTCCTCTTCGTGGTGAATCAGCCGACAAACTTGATCATGTGTTTGTTTATTAAACCCGGGGGATGTTTGTGTAACTGAACAGGGTCACGTTGGCCAAGAGTGTAAATATCAACCATAATCACTTTAGAAATAATGTACATACTGTCGGTAGGAATTCCATCATTAAGTTTCAGCAATATGATTGATGAATAAGCCTTAATTGATGTATGAGTAAATTCAAACTTGGTGTTATTGACGGAGGCTCTATTACAAACCGAAATTCTTTTGCATTGTGGATTTTCCCATTTTTCAGTTTGTGTGCCATTTTCCAAGAGTAGCAGTAAAGCGAGTGATGTTTCAGCTTCAACTGCACGCTTATGACATGTAAAACATTTGTTGCTTAAAATATTGAATGTAATGGAAATTTGCTTTTCTGACAGTAATACATATAAGTTGAACGATATAAATGATGTTTAATAATAAAGGATGAAATACATTTTCCATTAAAGCGGGAAAACTCAGTAAGTGACTTCAAATAAAGAAACGTTTGAACCTGGTCGTTCAGTACATTTATTAGACACTAATAAATTGTGCTTTACACAGAGAACAGTTATGAAATGTGCATTCTGAAATTTGTACCATCTGAATGCATCTTCTATACATTTGCTCCAAATGTCCCAGATCCAATTATTATGCATTTAATGAAAATATGTTGTTTTTTCATGTTCGCTCTGTTACATGTTTTGGCAACTCGGGAGATGGGACAAAGGTGGGTAATAATTATTAAACAATGTCTTCCATATAAACATAATTAGGGATTTTTTTTTTGTAGCTACATCTCACTACACTGTGCAAACAAGTCAAGGGGCGCTTTGAGCAACCGTGATAGAACTTGAACATTCATAAACATTAAATGACTAAAGCAAAGCATCGCTTAGTCAGACATCAGGTGGCAAACACGCCGCATAATATTGGATTATATTGTATAAGTATTTTCTTCTAACCTACTCTTGAAATACGTATATGTATATGACACAACACTACTAATATGTAGATTTATATTCAGGTCTCATCTACAACATGTATTGTAGCCTTCTACATATCTGAGCTTCAACTTGAACCAGATTTTTATATTAGCTCTAGTGCGGTCGCCTAGTAAGCAAAGACTTTCAAAAATGTTTTTATACAGTATTTACATATTTCCATGAAATGAGTGGCTGTAATTTAAGAGCAGTTGAAGCAAAGTATTGCCATGTCACGCTGTCGGTAGTTTATTGTCGATGTGAAGAATCCAGACTTTTAACATGGGAAAGTAGTGAAGAACAAATCATTGTTGGCGTGTGACCTGCTCATCATAATCCAGAGAACCCGTGACTCTCAGAGGTGAATCACATGTGGCAATCGTATGTGATGCTGGTGCTAACTGCTGGTCTCCTTGATGACATCTCAGGCTTCGTCCCTCTGTCCACACAAACCAGGACGCTCCCATCTGAGGCAGTATCATCGCTCTGGATGGGGGTAATCAAAAAGTCAACATTTTGTATTCATGGGAATTAAGAAAACTATTCTCTTTGGCATTATCAACAACACAGTTGTTCCATAGCTTCAATAAACCTTTCAGTATAGTAAATAATATAGTATCTGATGCGTACTACAGGGTTTATGGAAATCTTAATCTAGTTCTATACTCACATCATTTTTGGTCGCAGTGAGTTTCCTTGCCGTTTCGTTCCCTTTAGCTTTCTCTTGTAATCCCAGTTTCTCCATAATCAACTCAATCCTGGATGTGATGCCTGCCACAGAGCTTTCAAGCTGGAGAACCTGTCTGGCCAGTCTTCCATGTTGAGGGAAACGTAATTCAGTTTTTAGTCGATTGAAAAGAAATCAAGTTCTCATATTTGAGGACAATTCATAGGTTAAATGTAGAAACTATTCCCACCTTTGAAACTGTTCCCGATCCACGAATGTATGACTGGAGTGGTTCTGCTCATTGGACGTTACAGGAGGCTTCTCCAATAAGTCTTTCCCATAATGCATTCCAAGATTGTTGAGTTCAGTGCAAAGAGCATCCTTACAAACGAAAAAGGGGAACACCATCGTGAATTCAATGTCTTTTTTTGCTTGTTGTGCTAAATAAGAAACAAGTCAAACTGTAACACAAACCCTCTTTTCCTCCAGCTCAATTTTCATCTTCTCTTGTTCGTCTTCGTCTAGAATTTGGTTCCCATCGTGGTCAAACCGGGAAAAGGCTGCAGAAATTTCATGATCAGCATGTCCCATCCTATGACATCATCAAAGCATTGAGGGTTACTTACATTTGATACTGAAGTTTGAATAATATGCTCCAGTTAAGTCAATTTTATTTACATAGCCCAACATCCCAAATTTGCCTCAAGGGTCTTAACAATCTGTACCGCATACAACACCCTTTGTCCAATGACCTGCGGTATAACTAAGGAGAACCCCCCCCCCCCACCAAACACACACACACCAAAAGAATAAACATAAGTAAATAAATGGAAGAAACCTCAGTAAATGAGATTATAGTTGATCATGTCTCACTTACTCTTTCAGAGTTTCTCTGAAGTCCTTAAATTCAATTTCTCCAGATCCAGATCGTAGTGCCTTCTGAACATCTGATATTTTCTCCTTTTTAAGTTTCAACTTCATGAATGTCTTCATATAGCTCTGAATTAAAAGAGAATTCCATTTTGTTTGTAACTCTTGAAAAACTTTATCCAAAGATGTATCTATTTTTACATGAATCTGATTACCTGTTTGATGATGTCAGTAATCTGTAGCTCATCTTTTTGGCATGAGAGCTCCTCCTTAACTTCAGAGTATGTGTCATTTATGATGGCCAGAAACATGTTCTGAGGGACAGATACATAAAAAGGTAATGAGAATGCCCATCTTTATCCTTTTAAAATCAAACGTCTTGTGTTTACCTTCTGATGCTTACCAGTAAAACAAAGAAAACAAAGAACACATAGGTAACAAAGTAGATTGGCCCAAGAACTCTGTTAGCACGGTCAATGGCATCGTAATCAAAGTCTCCGAGAATAATCCTGAACTGTGTGAAGCTGCAGAAAGAAAAAACAAAAAGGATTGATTTATTCACGCTCAATCATCCTATTCAAATATTTTGTGCCAAGAGGCTGTTTTGGAGACTTCTTACATGCACTTGACAAAGGTACTGAAAGATTCAACCTCTGTCCCGAAGAGCAAATATCCAAGCTGAGCGTAGGCGAAGAACACTATGAAGAACATTATGGCGAAGCCCAGGATATCTTTAGCACATCGACCCAGTGTGGAGGACAGCTGAGTCATGGTCTTGTTAAAACTGATGTACTTGAAAACCTAAAGAAAACACTCAATCTAAGGGATGATGCTTGAGCCAGATCATTTCTTAAGTACTGTGTTTGAGTGAAAGATGTTACTTTACCTTAATCCACGCAAAGAACAAGTTCACTGCATTCATGTTGTTGTACTGTGTTTGCCAGAAGGCCAGAAATTCAAAATCAGCGTAGATACCAGGTTGTTCCAGCAGTTTGCCAAGCAAGTTGTCCACTTTGACAGTTCGGAAAATATTGAAGACAATGGCAACGATGGCAAGCTGGGAAGGAGAATAGTTACACTTCTTTGATGCGAAGCAAAATCAAAGAAAAGGACATGTTTGAATCAGAGGAGAATTACATTTTCTTACCATTATGACAACAATGTCCAGTATGTTCCAGATGCTTTTGAAATAGGAGAGCTTGTGTATTCGCAGCTCAAGAATCTCCTCCACAACATAGTAGAGGATGAATAAACAGAAAACCGTCTCGCAGCCGAGGATGAAGTAATCCCAGTTGGCGATGTAACGAATCAGTTTGACGGTTCTTATCTGGTAGGAAGGGATTGCTCCACCAGTCGCTGGGAATTCAACTACCAACCTGAAAGAGGGAATACAACTTTAGTCAACCAATGCAATGTCTTCTATCGATGGGTAAAGTTGCTATTGTCAGTTGTGCTCTTTACCTGATGACACAGAACATGTTGATGTTTGCGTTGTAAGTGGAGAAGTCGAGGAAGGCAGCTCTGGTTCCTCGGTCGAGCCACAGGTTGTCCACCAGTTCCTCCAGAATGATGATGCTTTCGTCTTTGGTTCGACTCAGGTCTCGGTAGTATCCCGCTCCACTGTATGTAGTCAGCAAGCCCCAGTGAGAGGAACCTTTGACTTCTTTCTCTGTGTGGTAGGTCCAGCTGCAGAGGACCAAGGCAACTTTGCTGTAGTTCTCCAATCTAACTGCATACTCAAAGTAACCCTGTAAGGAAAACAGAGAGCGACTTACGCGGTGCCATTGATGAGACCGAAGCTCAGGTCGTCCTCTTTCTTGTCGTTGTAAACATCGAAGCATCCCGTGATCTCATCTTCGAAGTCCTTGTGGACCTTGCAGGAGTTGTTCATGATCTTGATCTGCCTCATTCTGGGCACTCCCAACAGCATGTTCTCATAGTAGATGAAGGACTGGTCTCCTCTGTCCAGGGACTGGTTGTTGTACCATTTAGTCCAGTAGAGGCCGTCCAGCAATGGGCCCTGAGCATACTGTTCATGTAACGAGAGAGGATGCAGTTTCATTTTCACGTTTCTCAGTGAATTCTCATTGTTGTAAACATGGAGGAAATGAATATGGAAGGAAAACTCACAGTCCAGAAGTCGGCCATGGTGCCAATGGACTGAAACTTCACCCCACTATTACCGCCCGTATTCACAAACAGGTCCGTCATGGCTTTAGTGTAGTAATAGGTGCTCGAGCTGGTCATACCGTATGTCACTGAAAGACAACGTCGTCACATTGTTAACTGCCAATCATTGGTTCCTATCTGGCTTTGCTCAGGCTCAGCTGTAAATGTTGCTCTATTCAACAGTCGGAGATAAGACAACTCAGGAGCAGACACGCAAGGCCCCATTGAAGACTTCTTTGTTTGGCTGTGTTCATGTCACTGCAGTCAAATGGATCAAGATCAGAAGCCATAATTTGTTTGAAGAGAGAGCACGCTGACCTGATGCAAACAGCCTCTTCAAACAATGTAAATCTAACCCAGACAAAGCAACAATGGACAGGGCCAAATGCTCTTATCGCAAAAAGGCAAGGGAGCAGTACCCAAGTCCCTTTCACTCCTAATGCTCAGCTGGACAATGGCTGTCTGGCAGACTGATGGGGAACGCATTTGTGGTTGGTATTAAAGTAGGGGGAGGCTTTTGATGGTAAATCAACAGTCCAAAATGCCCTATTCACCAACACCCTGCCAAAAGGTGAGCACTTCAACAGGGGATCAACCTTAATAAGGTAAAATGATACAGGAACACCAAACTAAATATGTAATTCAATCCAATGAAAATATACCGTGATGCATTTAGTGTTTAATACAACTTTTAAATGTCACATTATGGACCATTAATGTGTGAAAGACATTTTGTACAACAGTATTTGGAAGTACTTTTCATTCTTGCATGTCAATTCAACAATTGTATTTATACATAAAAATTCTGGGAAAGTAGGTGTAAAGATTAAGTTTAAATCAGGTATCGCTACTTTTCTTAAAGACTCTTACATTTTAGAAGTGTAAAGGACACTTTGTAAGAGAAGCGCTAAAAGTGCTCATACCATTTGACCAGGGTACTGATCAGGATCTTTGAGTGCCAGAAATATACATTTATATTGGATATTTCATGCAGGATAGTAGAATACTTACAGAGGCATATATCCACCAGGAACACCAGATAGACCATTAACTCACGTAGAGTGGTTCGGACAAACAATTCTCTGTTGTTTGAGGTGTTTTCAGTCAGAGTTGTGCCCCAGAAGCCTACCGACAAATTACAGTCATTACGATGCTACATTATTTATAGAGTCGAGTGTTTTAAAAGACCATGCAGACGGTGTATCAACTTGAAATAAAGTAGCTGACCTAAATTATGATGGTCCACAGAAGTTTTATGTAAAAAAAGAACTGAGTCTCATCAGTTAATTGTACAGGCCCAAACAGAACTAGAACCAAAGAAAGACGTAAGATGATGTTTTTGTCAAGATCTTGGCTAAGTGTCATCTATACTTATTATATAACTGTAGAGATGTCAAATGGTAAATGGACTGCATTTATGTTTCTAGTCTACCAACCACTCAAAGTGCTTTACAACACATTCAAGTGTCTTGCTGAAGGACAATTGAAGCAAGCAGGAGTTGAAAATCACTAGACAACTGCTCTACCTCTACCTTATAGAAGACATACTGTTGTAAACTGCTGAATGGGTTCCACTTCCTACCTTTGATGAAAGAGCAGCAGCCTCGTTTCTTCACCGGGCTTTGGTCAGTGGATGGTGTTTCCTCCAGGAATGGACTGGGGGTGTCCAGTTTGTACATGCTGTCCATGGAGCCCTGGAAGAGGGACTGAGAGTTGTAGATGGTGCTGACCTCTCGGGGCAGGGGCGGAGGGGAGCCACAGTAGCCCTGGTTCACCCAGGCTCCATTGCCCATGCTGTCCAACTCCACCTGCCCGGTCAGGTGGCTGTCGGCCCGGTTGTTCAGGCACTTCATGCTGTTAGACACCTGTGCGTCTCGTATGGCCTGCTGGTGTGTAGATCAGAGAGGAAAGTGAGGCAGAGCAGGGCGGGCAGCTTCTAAGCACCTGCTGGAGAGATGTTTATAAAGAGTGGATGACATAAGCCTGGTTGAGGGAGGAGCTGGTCCTCTGTTGGAACTTTTGTAGTCTCGAGACTGAGACCCAGTTAAAAAACACATTGACGTACTTGTGTCCTGTTTTGCATGGTTACATCGCATTGATTTGGTCTCTGATAAATGCAAATTATTCAATGCATTCGGTAGAATGAAACTAAATAACCAGAAAACAACATGAAATAACAACCCTGTTTCAAGAGCTGAAATTATTACAAAAATACTTTGCCAAATTGAACGAACTTCATCCCATAGTTCCGTACAACACCGCCACTTATTAATATGGTGGTAAATGTCTTCATCAACATCCAGCCGTGTTGGAAGACTGAATAATTCAGCTGCTAAAAGATAATTGAATCTGTTTTACCCTCTCAATTACTTCCATGCTGAGCACATTGTTGTCACTATTGATTAACAACTCGTCCAATAACGTGCACCTATTGAGGAAATCAATTAATTGCACGTCGATTACATTTATGTCACCAACTGTTTGCCGCTTGTGACCAAATTAATGAGGAGCATAATTGCAGTGTCACTACTGATGGTCTCCTCCTCATTAACTATTACGCACTTTTGACTCTGCCCTCTCAACACGCCAACTGTCAGAAAGCATTTATTGAGTATGCAAACATTCGCCGTGGCATATGAATCACTATGACCATCTGGATCAAACGTTTGGCACCTCGTCTATTGGCCAAGTCTCCTCTGCCAGCCCAACAAGCCCCCCTGCAACACTTACCACACGTGTATTTACAGGAAGTGTTCTTGGCAGATATCAACAATTAGTTAAACAGGTAAACTAATGAATACTGTGATACCCGTCCACGTTTGTGTGTGTTTGTGTGTTTTGTGCAGCTATAGAGGCTTTAATAAACCAAACCGACTGGAATGTGAGATGATTTAAAAACAACACAATTCCAAGTATTACAACCCAAAACAACGACAGGCTAATAAGATGCGTGTAGCGTATTAGCAGTTGGACATGTAATACACTGCTGTAGATGTCTTATACTTAATGCAGATAGAGTTTGGGTCCCGCTGTGGGTGTTCATGCTTCAGCGGCTGTGAACAGAGCGATTACACACGGCCATTACCACACAGTTTAATTTCTGCTCGGGGCAGGATCTGGCACACAGGCTTCCTTAATTTGCTTTGGCTTGTGCCACCATTCAAACTTTTTCAAATCTGTAGCAATCACTTTTCAGGGGCCGATGATTGCCATTTAAATCTGTAGCTGTGTGGCTCTATCAACGGACAGTTGGCATCCTGGTGTATCTCTACTTACATTAGACTGTGCTGTAGCAGAATTAAATCATAACTCTTTAATACTTAAAAACTCCAAAAACAGGTTATTTTTATTGAGAACATTCATGAAAAGAATAGTGATTTTACTTATAACCTGCTTTTGGAGTTTCCAAGTACTAAAGAAC